TGGTTTTGAGATATTTTAGACCTTATCATTTGCACTGAACATGTGCAGAACAACATTTTTTATGATAAAGATGACACACTCCTTTTGAAATGGGAAGTTTCTGCATTTTTGCAGCATAAATTGGCAATGTCCAGCAACCTGTTTCCATTTTTATTTAATTAATTGGTCATATACAAGCAAATAAGATTGAAGGTAAGAAAATATTTGATAAAACAAGAATAAAACATTATGATCTTGTTCTAAAAGTCATCATCCACCTGAGGCTTGAAAACACTTGAATCCACCACTGTCCCAAGATATTTGTACTTTTTCACAGTTTCAACAGTCTGTCCATTTATCACTACAGGAGTGATGATGGCAGTGGGACTCCTGATGACATTGAAATCTAAAAAGGAATGACTTGCACCAGTGTATAAAATCAGTACAAGTCGGAAATGCTGGATTTTCCCTCTTATTTATCACCCTTAATCTCACTCTTATGCACATACTCCATATATAAACCCTTATGAACCCCTTCGGTGCAGCATTGTTTCACTGAGGTCCTTACACACTTCCATGTTAAATTCAAAGACAGGTATACGCAGGATGGAAAGCAAACCCTGTGTTTCAATGTGTGAACTGTTCTTCTTGACCCCAAAGGAATGTGGTTGTAGTAGTTGACCAAAGAGGTGTACTTTTCATTTCAGAAGGTGTGTGTGCCTTCACCTGTGCAACTACTCGAGCCTGTAATTAGGAAGAGGTGAGAGGTGAGCTTAGACCACTGGATGCACATTTAACAGACCTGTAATGACCGTAAACAATCACTCTCACTGTCAGAGATTTCTTTTTTGGCTGTAGGCCAAGGGACAAGTATTTTTTTAAACGAGTAGCAATGCAGCATGCTTCTTAGGTCTTTAAACATACCTTCCGAGTCATGCATTTGAATTTAAAAAGTAAGAAAGACATGTTTATCGGGTGGAAATATGACATCCTGACACTCTGCCAACACTGACAGACAGCTGCAGAGGAATTCCAGTGATTGATCGATGGTCGCCCAGTGTTTCTCATGGTTGTTAGGGAAGGAGTTGGTCATTAGGGATGTAACCATGGGTTTGGGGACGTCCAGGTGTCAGCGGTATGACAGAACCCCTCATTTGGTTGCAGAGGCAGCTGGCCAGGACGGGACAGAGGGACATCAAACAACCCACAGCTGGAGGAGAAAAGTGGGTAAGGCGAGTGTGAGAGGAAGAGAGAGGGAAATGAAAAGAGAAGGGGGAGAAGAGAGGAAAGTGAAGAAAATCACGGAAACTTTAATATCACTATTGAGCTAAATGTCTGTTGACAGTGTTGTTCATTCTCACTGTCTTCTAGCATCTCATCCTCCTTTGTTCTTTAATTTGTCTGTGGTCAGTGTGGCTAGCTGGAAGAAACACTGACTAAAACAGATTTTAAATAGTCACATATGTTTGATCCTCGAGAAAGAACTTGGAAAATTCTCATCTTTTAAAAAAAGAAATCTACCAGTAATGGCTCCTTCATTCCCAAATCTGCATGAGCTCATAATATTTTACAGCACATTAAAACATATTTTCAATGTACTGTAACATAGTGTTAGCCGGTGGGTGTTCCCCCTCTGGGTCCTTTTAGAAGAAGCAACTCAGGAGAAAGGTTTTTCTTCTAACATGAACAAAAAAAAAAAAATGATTGTAATGCTTTGGAGAGCAAGTTGGGTTACAGTTAATGTTTTTTACAGACACCAGAGGCCTTCCATGTTAGTTGCTGTGAGGGTTTTCCATTTCAGTTTCACAAACAATTTAAGTACTGAAGCTGTTACAGGCAAAATCATTTGTGTTGCTATGTAATCACACAACAAACTGCAAAAGCTAAAACTAATTCACTTTTAGACACTTGTAGTAAGAAACTTAAGTGTATTTATTTCATTGTTTGCACCATTGACTGTATACTAATATGGACAGTGCATCTCGGCCTCCTTCAGGTGTACAAAAGTGAAGCAACCAGCACAGATACACTGTGCCGGTGATGCTGCAAGTGCTGTGCATGATATAAAACTAATGTCAGTTAGAAAACATTTAACAGTGAAACAATGTTTTAAAAATCAAACTATGACATTACATCAGCATAATTTAGAAACAGACTTGCATACATAAAAGTAAAGAAGGGAGTCTTTGGTTTTTCTTTAAATACCTCAACCAAAAATGCCTGCTAATGTCCAGTCTGTTCCATAGTGTCTGTTCACCAAATGAAACAGCAGTTCACCAATCGTCTCATTACTGACCATGGGGACTCTCCTTATATCTGTCCATTGTTCATTTGATTACTAATCTAGACACAGAGTATAACTATGGTACAGATAATTCAGTCTGGGTGGACCATGAACCATCATTTTTGTCTTAGCTGAGTTAAGTAACAAGACGTTTGAAGACAATCAGCTGTATTGGACCCACCTGCTAATGTCACTGGCATGTACACCTGCAAATCATCTGTGGAAAGCAATCCTTAAAAAAACACAAATCTGACCCAGTCGTACCCAATGAAAAAGACAGTGGACCCTGGATTGACCCCTGCAGAACCCCATGCCTAACAGCACAGGACTCAGAGAACATGTTGTTGTATATGACACACTGAAATATTTCTGACTAACTGGTGTTAGTTACAATTATGTTTTCTCACTACTTTCCTCCTCTACTACTCTGCTAATCCAGTTTATCTATCCAGTTTATTTTTATCTAGTTTTTATCCAGGTGAAATTTCCCCTTGCGGGAATCAATAAAAAGTTAATCTTAAGTAAATCTTAAATCTTTAGAACCTGGCAACAAGCAGTATGTGTCAACAGAGCTGTCATTATGTTGCTACATCCGCTCTTTTTGCATTAAATTACTATTTAAACAAAACGTCAACATACTGTTAATCGGCATGATATTAACTAACTATCAGAAAGAATCCTATATTAGCAAAAATGTATATGACATGTTTTTTATCTTCATACTCTGACTCATGTCCAATCTGTTAACTAGGAGGCAGGGTTTGTTACCTTTACTGCAGCCAGTCAACAGGGAGAATGCTAAATATTTAGGCTTCACTCTCAAGTGGCTGTTGGTCTGTCCATCTTAATATACAGTCAATGGTTTGCACAAGACATGGCTTGTCCCTGTATTGCATGAATGTATGGCTGTGTGCTTGCTCTCGTCACTCTTTAAGCAAAACTGTTTGTAAGAGAGCTTCTGTGCGTGTGTATGTAATCAGAAATGACAGCTATTAAGCTGTCACAGTGGAAAACAGACGTTTTAGACGTAACAGTTTCTGTGTTGGATAGAATTCCCGGTTTTCCCTGACAGACCTTTGGAGGCACCCAGAATGCCTCAGTGTCATAGCTCAGCGACTTTTCTCTGCAGGGGACTGGCGTCTAAAATCTGGCTGTGTTACAAAGACGGGGATAAAAAAAATGCACAACCTTTATGTTTTGTGTATTCAGATGTACAACATGTAGGTGTATGCATTATTATGGTTTGTGCTTTATGGTTTAGTGTGTTTTGAGACAGACCAACAGATGCAAAAGGAGGCATAACAGAGAAACTGATATTGAAATCGTCCCTCTGATATTGTCTTACGATGTCCTTAAGAGACGCTTCTTTCTCTTTTTTGCTTCTTTCACAGTTCCCATCATTTCACCCTGAACTAAGGACACTGCATAACCTTGTATTGCTTTATTCACACATATGTGTCTCATATATCTTTGTAGCTCTCCAGACAAAACATACAGTATGCACCCACACAATAACACACACACACACACACAATCACAAAGAAACTAAGGTACTTAAATAAGTTGGACAACTCTCAGCTCTGGTCATTTCACACCCATGATTCAAACAGCTGTAGTGTCGATCAACAAGGGGAAAGAATCTGAAATGTTTTGGTTTCTGTAAGCACAAAACAGGTAACAAAAAAAGTCAGCTCTGCAGAGTGTGTCTTAGTGTTTCCTCTCAGACATTCAGAGTACATTGTGATATTTATAACTCCCACTTCTCCTCACTTCCTAACATTTAGCAGGGGAAGGCTAAAGAGTCAAGCAGACTACACTACATTGTGCATTAAGGGGGTCCACTTCCCAGAGCTGAAACATTCAGCTAGAGGAATATATTACCCCCATGTGTGTTTGAACGCCCCCAAAATCTGTTATATCCAATCAAATATTACGATAACCTCTTCAGATGAGGACCTGGGGAGTATGTCACTGTGGGGGTTTGATCCCTGACAAGTGGATTTACTTGTGGATTTGATTGTTTCCCGACACAGTTTGGTGTTAATCTGAGTCACGGTAAAGTCGGCATCCTTTGGGTGCGAATCATTGATGAAAGAATACTGAATCACCACTGACATCCTCTCCATTTTACATGGATTGTATTCTTCATAGTCAGAGACACGGAGGAAGTGATAAGCTGTGGAAATATTTTTACATACTTTTTCTATTAGCCTGAATCCAGGCCATTAATACTGTGGTATTTTTTAATTTTTTGATTTTCATCCTTAATCCCCCCCCCCCCCCCCCATATCATCCGCAAAATAAAAAAATAAAAAGGAATCATTTAGAACAAGACAAGCTCTATAAAGTGAAAACAAGAAAAGGGCGGAGAATTCAGAGTGAAATCAAGAGTGATGTGTGTCCAAAGCTTCAGAGGGAGAGTTATTTCTTTTGGATTAGATTTCAGCATTCACTTCAGGGCTTGTTCTCTGGCCATAAACACACTTCATGAGCTGTCACAACATTCATACTGAGGTGCAAAATACAAGTGACCTCGACTGGAAACAACTTTAAGAAATCTGCCTCTACAATTTCTAAACACTTTCTCTCAATATTTTCCCAAACTTTGTTTCTTATCCCTCCCAGCCCTAAAGCCAACCCCACCTCACAAACACACACTCCCCCATGTAACGTGTGTGTGTGTGCGTGTGTGTGTATGTGTGTGTGTGTAAGAGTGTCCTCCTACTTCAGTCTCTCCATGGCTGGATTGTGGCAGCAGCTCGGCTCCCTGCGGCACTTTCGGGCGCTGGCTCTCCTCCACTACTTCATCTGTCTTCTCTACCCGCCCTCAGGTGCTCTCCGCTTGGACACAAATGCCAGTCCGCCCCCGTTGGAGGTAAGAGAACCATGTGGTCATGGAAAACATACAAAATCAAAGGAATTGCTACATAGATGCAAGTTTCAAGAAGTAATTTAGTGGTTTTGGCAAGCTTCATTGAGAGTAGCGTTAGTGATATAAAAGCCAAAAATATATTTTTTTCTCTGAGGTACAGTCTCATCTTGTAAATTCTGAAAGTACTTCCTTACTTTTTCTCATGCACCCTAAGATCCAACACCAAGATCTGGTCGGTGTTACTGGGCAAAAAATGAACAGTTTTGAATTATGTATCTTCTGTCAGAGGCAGATTGATCACACACACATCAAGTTTTTTTTTGTTTTTCAGATTTTTGAGTTCAGCATCAAAAGAGAAGTAAAAAGGCTTAGAGACTGTTAAAAAATACAGGGCATGAAAAGAACAGAAGAGGCAAAACTGGCAAAATGAAGATGTGTGCTGAGAGTAGAAAAGTAGAGCGGAAAAGTTCCCCAACTCAAACCAACTGTTGGACTGAACTGAGGGAGCTGTGGGATTTCATGCAAGAAGGAAGGGGAGAGTTAGAGAGGAGGATGTATGAGTGAAAATAATAAGAGAAACGGAGCACTAATGTGAAACAGTGGAAATGAGGATTATGATGTTCCAATATATACAGTACGCATGTGATGGTGGCACCAGGGTGTAAAGATTGTGTATGTAGGAGTGCACATACTGTATAGGCTTGTGCAGTGTTCGTACCTTTGGCTTTGTGTTTATTAAATTAAGTGACTCTGAATGTGTGTGTGTGTGTGTGTGTGTGTGTGTGTGTGTGTGTGTGTGTGCAGGGGTTTGAGCTGGTGAAGGGGAATTTCTCTCGCATTTTCCTCCGTGTTGGCTACCATAAGATTGGAGAGATTCCTGCAGGAGCACGCAACATCAGCATACAGGAGACTGTAAAGAGCAGAAACTACCTGGGTACATACTCACACACACACACACACACACACACACACACACACACACACACACACACACATATACATTGATTACATTTTCTAACAAACATTCTGGATGAATATTTGGTTTCCCTTCAGCTCTGCGGACACACTCTGGCGTCTCCATCATCAATGGAAACTGGGTGATCGACAGGCCGGGGATCTTCACTGCTGTGGGAACGCAGCTGACTTACCAACGACCCAATGAAATCCGCTCTCGCAACGGCGAGTCCATCACGGCACCCGGACCACTCACTGAAGACATACATGTTTATGTGAGATGCACATTGCACACAAAAATGATTACTATACCATACAGCATGTGGTCATATACAGCACAGCCTTCCTCCCTCTCTCTATCTCTCTCTCTCTCTCTCTCTAATTCAACAGTTGATCTATCAGCAACCAGGTCCCAGTGTATTCTATGAATACAGTGTGCCATTGAAAAACACACACCCGACTTCTGAGCCGGTCACACCTCCTGATATTCTGCCCCTGGGTGAGTGAAAACACACTATCACGCATGAACGCACAATTAGAGCTTTATTAAAGTGACCCCAAATGACCACAGTGCCATTTTCTTAGGCTCAGTATTCTGGTTAACCATCAGGGAGCATAACACATAACAGATGTTTTGTTTGTTACTGCTTGTTCAGTATGTGTGTGTGTGTGTGTGTGTGTGTGTGTGTGTGTGTGTTCAGTTCAGATTTCACTGCAGTGTCCTGGTAACGCCAAATGGTATCATTTTCCACAACGTTTCTTTTAAAGATTTGATTAGGATTTTTGAAGACACTCGATACAGGAAGGCAGCCAATCTTTCTATTGCAAAAAATATCTTTACCTCACACTTCGACAATAACCAGTCACTTGGGGCGGATTCGATTTCATGACCTAATATTTAAGCCATTATTAAGGAGCTTAGAGACATTGCTATTATTTCTGTTGATGCTGAAAAATGATCGTACAATTACAAAATATCTCCTGAGCATCTCCACAAAAAAACAAATATTCTTGAGGGCCCTGAACATCCTCACAGGTAAACTTTGTACTCAGACCCCTACTCGGGTTTAAGTTGGATGGAGCAATGCTGGGAAGTTGTCACATTTTGACCATTTCCCCTCAGGGTGGGAGGCTCAGAGGCTGTTATAGTGTTGAAACGTTGTCTTCCAGTACTAATGTAGAAAATCTCTCATCTTCATTAACCTTTTATCTAACCAATATTTAGAATGAACACACTCTTTAATCGCATGTCAAATTTGGGCTCCACTCAATCAACTTTCTTGCAGTTCACACGGTAGCTCCATCCCACTCAGGTGAGAAGGTCGACCAAGATGAGGTCACCAACAATGACATCATTAAAGAGGGACCCCAGCCCAACCACGTACCCTCTGAACCTAATGTATCACCTGGCCCTCGGCCCAGCTACACCTGGGCAAAGAGTGGACATGCAGAGTGCAGCACCACTTGTGGCACTGGTGAGGACACACGTTAGATTTTAAGCAAATGTCTGTGGTCTCTTGATGTTAACATGTTGCTGAATAAAGATTACTTTACTTTAGCTTGAATTCTTTTGCAAAAAGACCCAAGAATGTGTAAAGTATAAAAGCCTGAGACCATAAAAAAGTGCATATTTTAGATTGTGTGATCTTTGTTTGGCACACGAGTGTCACTGAAAGCTGCATAGGAGATGTCCTGGTCCTGGCCAAGTGTCCACCTAAAGGTCGTTGTAAAGCTTTTAGCTGTAATCCACAGTAAACCAGAACCAGAGACCAAGTGTCTCGGCTACAACATCATGAAAACTATTTTATTTAATGTCAAATATGTGTGTATTTTTTCATAGTTTTTGTACCATACAGATTGAACTTCACTTGCTTCATCATCCTTCTATCTATCGATATGTTCGTGTGTGTTTTGCACACTTGTCAGGCAGGCGCCAGGTACTGTGGGAGTGTGTTGAGAAAGACTCCCAGGTGACTGTTCCTGCTGACCTCTGTGACCCCGCCCTTCAACCGACACACCGGGAAGAAGAATGCAACACGCAGTCATGTCCCGCATAGTGAGTAACACACACACACACACACGTACACACCTGATGTCCCAAACACCAGTAAATACACAGAGTGAGACTCACACATTACATCAGTTCCACATGTTGTTGAGACTCTCGGGGGGGGGAACCTTCATCTCTCTCACACATTCCAGCCATAAATCAGTCAGAGTCAATCACACTGAGCCACTTTGCTGTGGTTTTGGGTTTTTTATGTTTTGTGGTAAATATTATTAGATATTAAAGCGGCCAAGATCTATGGGGTAATGAAGTGCATTCACTGTATGTTTGGTTGTGGCCCACGATGTCAGTGATCTATGACAGCTGTCAGTCAGCAATATGTTTCTATTGGGAGCTCAGCGCAGAGATTTCAAAACTATTACTTCAGGAGTAACAGAAAAAACAAAGACAAACATTACATTTTGCAGTGGAGTTTTCCTTTTTGCGTTTGTGTCGTTAAAGAAATAATAAATAAATTACTATTACTAAATTACTAATGTATAACGCATGGAGGCGGAGGGCCGGTGCAAAATCCCTCCGCCCCAATCCACCATCAGAGGTAGTAACAGAAGGGCAATGGAATGGGAGACGGTGGATGATGAGTAACATTGGAGCTGGCAGGGCAGAACATCAACGCTGGGGGTGTGTGAAAGTGCATGCCTGAGTGTGTGTGTGTATGTGAAGCTCCAGCTGTTTGTCTAGCACTTTGCCTCTCATGCTGTAATGCAATGTGAAACCACACAGGGGAACACCAATATTTGGACACATGTGGAAGTCCAAAGTGTATTGACAGTGGACCTGTGTAATGGCGCTGCTGTTGATTTGCGATGGCTAATGGGGGGTAATAGTTGTGGTTAAATTGGAGACATTGCACTGGGAAAAGATCTGTTTGAGGATGGCCGTTGCCAAGCTAATTGTCTGTAACCAAAGCTTCTCCTGCCATACCTAAGCAGCAACCTCCAGTGTTGAGAATAAAAGCCAAAAACTGCAGTTCCCTAAGTGTCCTCTTGAGGCTGGCTGCAAAAGCCAAGGAATCCTCAATAGATCCCATATTAAATTGCGTAAAAAGCGCCTTTGTCATTTACTAATTCATAGAAGGTTAGGTCGAGAAAGCATTTCCAACAAGCTACTGCCATCAATGGACTTCATATGGGACTCCTCAGAAACCAACGGGTGACGTCACTGAGACCACGCCAATCTATGACTACATCTAACCATTTCCTTGTTCTGTGATTGCCTGACAGCTGGGACGTGGGGGAGTGGTCAGAGTGCAGCAGGAGTTGTGGCCCTGGCACTCAGCAGCGCCAGGTCATCTGCCGCCAGGTCACTCACATCCACGCCAACGGGACAGAGACCTCAGTGACCGTGGCACCGAAGCTGTGCGGACTGTCTGATATGCCGGTGACCAAGTCAACATGTCAGCTGAAGATCTGTAGCCAGTGGGAGATCCGGTCTGAGTGGAGCCCAGTGAGAACACACACACACACATATTCATATACAAAAGGACATTTACCCCTGAAATGTTGTGAAGAACAGGATTAAATCTGCAACTGTCCCTGCTTTTCTCCACTGCCTGGTATTTTTATTACTTCACCCTTCTCTCCAAACTTCTGTCGCCCAGTGTTCGGTGCCCTGTGGGGTGGGCCAGCGCAGCAGGGAGGTGGTGTGTATGAGCAACCAGGGTGATGTGGAGGACGACACAGAGTGTAACATGAACCTGAGACCAGACACACTACAGAACTGTGACATGGGAGCCTGTGCACGCAGCTGGTTCACCTCTCTCTGGAGCCAGCGGGTAACGCAAAAACTGTGTGTGTGTGTGTGTGTGTGTGGATGGAGAGGGAGGATATGAAATTATGTATGAAATCTTGACACAGCACAGATCAAGATTTTATTTGTGTGTATGTGATATTTCACAGTGCTCAGCAGACTGTGGTGGAGGCAATCGAACCCGGGCAACAGTGTGCCTGACAGATCACGTGACTGATCTCCCATTGGGCAGCTGTGAAGGGGAACGCCCTCCAGAAGTGACATCATGTGACTCAGGGCCCTGCCAGAACCGCTTTGAGTGGTACACAGGACCCTGGGGTCAGGTAATTTACAAGCAAAAACATGTATGAATTTCTGATTTCAAGGGGTCAGGCCACCCGTGCACCCCTTTCATGTCCCAGGGGGTCCCATCCCACAGTTTGAGAACCACTTCTATAAACAGTTTCACACCTTATAGACTCACCACGTTAACCATGTGTGTGTGTGCAGTGTTCATCAGAGTGCGGGAATGGCACACAGACCCGGAGCGTGGTCTGTATTTTCAACAACAACAGTGTCATGGAGGTTATGGACAACTCAAAATGTTCCGGTGTCTCTCAGCCAATCACAGCTCAGCCCTGCAGACTGAAACCATGTGGGATCCAGTGGTATGTCACAGACTGGAGTACAGTAAGTGTCAAAGAGTCTCTCTTTCAACCTTTAATGAATATACTCACCACATATAGTTAGGTCATCACTAGCCCAGGTATCGTCACATTATTCTTTGTAATCTCTTCCTCCGTCCTGATTCAGTCCTACATTTTATATTTCTGCTTCTACATAGCATTTTCTCTCGCACAGTTATCAAAGGTGTGCCTCAGGGGTTGGTACTGGGACCTATTCAATTCATTCTTTATATCAATAACGTCAATCAAAATATTTTAAATGCTCATTTTCATTTTGATGCTAATGTAATATACTTTTGAATTTGAATCCCTGCAACATTTCTTTGGCTCTTTAGATTAATTTATTTGACAAAACAGTATCAACTCAAGGTCAGACTCTAAGCTTTTTTCTGAAGTTTTTAAGTGAACCACAAACAGGGGTCAGTTGTCATGATGACTGACATTAAAGCTAACTGGTTAAAAGTGAACTTTAAATCATCAAGTCATTGGAAATCATAGAAGCTACTCTGCTGCCATGTCATCTACCCCAATCACATCAGGGCAAACTCTGTGTGCTGACGAATACGCTGTGATACAGTCTGTCAAGAAAGAGGTTTTTGTGTTAAATCATGATGTATGAAATGAACCGGAAAAAGCACTGCATCATCATCTCAACATTTTTCATTAACAATGTTTTTGTTGCAAAGAATTTTCTTCTCTTTAATAAGAACAAAGCAGTAACATGTTTAGGAATTACAAAAAGAACCCACCCGCTGTTTCTGGAGAGACAATTTGCCAGGGGGAGAATGAAAATATTTTCCATTAAGTATAAGTGCTTTGAACTCAAGAAACTTTATTTCCCTTTAATTTACTGTGTCCATGTCGGTTGGATATCTTACCACATAAAGCTAACACAATATGCATGGGCTTTGTCTTGTCTTGTTGCTGAAATGTGCTATATATAATTAAACTTGGGCAGATTTTTCATTATTTAAAGATTATGTGAAATTAGGTATTTCAGGGGAAGGATCATAAATGTGTAACTCTCTGCTCTGCTCCTGCTCTCTCTCTCTTTGTCACCTCAGTGTTCACGCTCCTGCAACGGTGGCTACCGAGTGCGTGAGGTGCGGTGTCTCACCGACAACATTGCTCCCAGCGAGCAGTGTGACCCAAGTTTGACGCCAGAGAGCCGAGAAGAATGCAACAAACAACCTTGTAAAGCTGAAATAGGTAAGTCTGTACCGCAGACTGTAACCAGAATGGACAGCACAGGAGCTCTTGAGAAATGAAGCCAAAAGATTTAGAGCTCCGCCTGCTGCCTGGCTGCAGTATAGGTCATAAACCCCGCCTCCTTTTCAGATAAATCATGCGTCGAACTTAAAAATATAAGAATAAAACACGTCAAATACATTTCTCTCAAACATGGTTTCTGTCATTACAGTAAGTTCATATCATGCTGATGTATGTCAAGTGTTCACTTTCCTGAGAAGTTTAGTTTTATTTAATGTTAAAAAAGAAGAGCGTGTAACACCATGATTGACAGCTTTGTTGACAAATGAGGATGAGCACAGTTGAGGTACTAACATGAGAGTCATTGAACCTTAGAGATCGTTGTCACTTTAACATTAAGTTCTATTTGTGCTTTGGTTTGTGGAAGAGGCGGACCATTAGAGGAGACATGCGTCCATTTTTTTCTGAATTACTCATTCATATACTTGTTTTCTCTTCTCAGATCCGTCCTGCAGTGACCAGTATCATAACTGCGTGGTGGTGGTTCAAGCCAGACTCTGCATTTATCCATACTACAGGAGTGTCTGCTGTGACTCCTGCTCCAGCGCCCAGAAATCATACCCCAAATTGTTTCAAGAGAACTACATCCACAGGTGATGGAACTACAGATAGGTTCAATAAACCAAATGTCACACTTCAGTATAAAAACAGCACTGTGAAAATGACAATTAGTAACCCATGGTTGAATATTCAGACTTCTTAAAACTACCCACACACACCACCACAAAAGTGAGATTGTATTTCATCGGACACCAAAGTGGAGTAATAAACAACTTTCTTCTTTTGATCACTCCATGTCATTCAAATGTCTTTATGTTTAAATTTCAGTGTAACTTCAAACTGAACAAGTTGCTTTTCCTGATGTATTTGTGTATTTATTCTTAATAAAGTCTATATTACTTCAGCCGTTGTTCAAGATATTAAAATATTGCCGAACAATTAAACTGTTGGATGTTAATTTAAAATGTCCTACATTTTAAGGTCACAGCGTTTTTAATGTAATCAAAAAGCTTAATCAGTTATAACAACCAAGCAGCAACTCCAGTGTTTGGTTGGGAGATGAAGCCAATGGGGAAGTGCAAAAAACTGCAGTTCCTTGAGTGTCCACTTGAGGCTCCAAATGCCCTGGAAGCCTGATTTAAAGACGTTAACAGATATTAACATATATATTTAAAGCCTGGTTCAGGCTTCTTATCAATGGCTCATTTCTCCTGGTGCTGTACACAATGCCGAGGGTGTGAATATATTTTATGGCTGTGTTGACTGATAGGCGAGCAGATTGTAGAAGTTTGCAAGGAGTTTCGAGGTCCGTCTCAGCTCCACCTTTGTTTCTATATTTAGCGACAAGTAAGGTTCTCATAGCCTTTACAATATGACACCTCCATCATTTGGCTTCACAGTACTTCTTCAGAAACCAACTAGTGACATCACCAAGTCCACATTTCACAGTGTATGATAACTGCAAAAGTAATATATGGGAGGAAAAGCAACTGGAAAGCTTACCTTGGTAAGGACTGGTAGTAGGTGAAAAACAGCTAGCCCTTCTCCGTTTGTTGGTTTTCAAGCAAGAAGTACAAAGTATACTTCAATTTTTGCAGAAAATTACCCCCTCCTCTCCCCCCCCACCTCTTAAAGCCTCTTTACACCAACACAGGTGTTTTTAATGATTCTGACTGATTCGACCAGGACAGGTTCTAAATAGGTTGAGCTGTGGGGAGAATTTATGATGTGATAAATTTGAGGCAAACTTGACCACACCCACATATTCCTGAGAAAAGGTCTAATCATGGTCTCAATCCCCAGCACATGCGGCTGTTTATTTTTAAAAATAAAAAAACCTTGCCTAATGTGTAGGCTTCATACATGATTATTGATTTTTGGAGGTTCAATATTCTAAATACAGTTTGATACATTAAAATGGAATCATATTTAACCTTCTTAATTATTACTTGGATTTTAAGTCTTAAAATTGTGAATGTGCTGATTAATGTGGAGCAAAAAACTAAATGTTCCTCTCAAAATGTGAAAAGGTACAACTAATAAGAATCTCACGTCTGTACTTAAATGCAATACTTGATCAGATGTACAAGATCAATGCTGGCTGCTTCCGCACATTGGGACAACTGCTCACATAGGCCCCTAAGTTATCACCTCCCAACTTCCCCTAAAGTGTGCAAAGACAATTTCATAATTCACAAGGACACAAAACATGTTCACTCTGCGCATATAAAGTTCCTGTGAGGAGTTATTAGGTGGTAATGAAACAGGCTGAGGTGAATACTGATGCTTATATACGACATAAAAGCAATTTAGAACCATCAGCGACAAAGACTGATTATTTTTACAGTTACTTTTTAAGCTTGTAAATGCTGCCATTGAGTAGGTGTCAAAAGTATGAAGTAGGTGTTAAAACATGGCTTTTTTTTCCCCTTTTCATTTTCCGTTGCAAAGATGAGTGTATATAGGGAGTGATTTAATGGTTCAAAGAAAGCAGGTTAAGACTTTTACACCTACCGGTACAAGTGTACTATACCAGACCAGCCAAGAGATAAGAGGTACGGCTTTGAGAAATTCCTCACAGGAGCTTTAAACTCTGCATCAACACAATCGAGTCAAGAGGAAGTCACATCAGCGTTGTACTCATTCGAGATAGTAATACCATTGCTTTAATGGGACAGCCGGGCTGACAGCATGTAAAAGGCCATAATTCAATCACGAGAACTTAAAGCACAGGAACATTAAAAATGAACATCGATGACAAAAATGCACATCGCATTCACTGTTACTCATAAAACATATTAGAAGTCACATGGGGACTCTTTGACAGACACACTCTCCCATTTTCTGTAGCTATACATAATCTTTAGTAATGTTCCCGAGGTGCTCCCGAGTCTCTCCGTGTCAGTGGATGCAAGGCTGCATTGGTAGGTCCATGCTAATAGGCTGTTGAGGACGTGTGATATGACAGCAATCTTTAGGGTGAGCCTGGGCCTTTGGCTTTGAGGGATGCAGGGTCCACATTCACCGACGATATCCGTGTCTGTCTTGACTTAAAACAAATTTTTTAAAAAATGCTCGGACACCATTACCCCGAAAAAACATTCAAGGCTCTCTTTTTTTTTTCTTCCATGCTGATAAACCTTAACTCATTCTAAATATATATTTGATTTCCTCAAAGACACAAAGCTGGGTTTTTGTGAACACAAACGGCAGCCACTTGTCTTTTCTTTTTTTGCTTTTCTTCATCTCTTGATAGTTCTTTTTTGCTTTGTCCTTGGCATAGGGTACCAGACAGTAAGACGTTAATGTAATTGTTACTGAAGGGTTTAACAAGAAGCGTTCTAAAAACATCATTACCCCCCCTCCTGCCCCCCTGTTCTGTCCATCAACTGAACAATTACCATCTATACAAGTCAGTTTCTGAAAATACAATGGCAAGTGACATTTTCCACCAAATATTTCATCGTGAACAACAAAAAATATATTTCACTCCCCCATTGTGATTTGTTCAGCTTATCAAATGCAATAACTGGTTTGTTTTTCTTTGTAGCATCGTACCAACATTCACTGATTTCAATATTGTAGAAGTTTTACAAAGACATAAATATAGTAGGTTACAATACAGTAAAAAATACAAAATAAAGTTGATATAGTTTCTTTTTTCTTAAATGATAATTTACCAGAGGCAAACCCAGAAACAAATCTTTGACACTAGGCTAAAAACACTAGAATTACCCCCTGAGGTCAAATGATAAAAGAATAGCCATGTCTCGAACCAGAGCTTAGTCCCGGTTTAACTCGCTACTCTGATGGTGTTCAGAAGCAGTGAACTCCGTACAGGACTGTAGGCAAAATGTGGGCGTCCTGCGTGACACATACGTCAGCGTGTACTTCTCAAGTGCACTGGTTTTGGGTGTTATTACTACACTAGCGAGACGTTAAGCTAAGGAATACCTGAAGGCACAATCGTCTGAGGCAGAGCACGCCTCAGGAATCAAACACTATTGTTGTGGTTTCAAAGGAGTTAAGATACAAAAAGGGAAAGAACAAAAAAGGAGAAGGTTACAGTTTCAGGTGTGGTTTAGGTCTGAGAAACGACGAGGCAGTGAAACAAGTTAAGGCCAAACTACTTAAGATTGTCCAATCAGAACGCTCCGACAGTAAAGAGGATGTTAGACCTGACAAATCAAACAGATTTGTGAAAAGATATCAGTTAAAATAGCAGAACTCCATCTATATTTTGTCATTGCCTGGCTCGCTACAAAGATACTTCTTGTCATGGTTAAGTCAAATTGTATTAAACAAGGCTTTTTTTTTTTTCTCTTATGTCAGAGGTTGTTATTATACACAATAATGTATAAATGTATGTTACATGAATATACATGGGCTTCAGACAATATAATATCTCAGTAAGGAGTACATCCAAGCATTCAGGGTGAGGACTTTGGCTTTGAAAAGTGAGTCTACATATGCACAAATATGACACACGCACGTAGAAAATGCACCATAGAGAAAAAAAAAAAAAAAAAAAGGACGTGGAAATCAAAACAAAAAGGAAATGGACTAAATGGCTCACACACTTTATCTACTTTCACATACGACCACTTGCTCACACAGAACCATTTCCTGTCAAAACAAAGAAAAACTGTTTTGTTTTTTTCAAGTTTGACCGTTTCCTGCCCTTCACATTTGATCTGCGTTCACAGACTTGATCAGGGTTGAAAAAAAAAAAAAGGAACAAATACTGGGGGGTTTGGAGGGCTTCAAAGGGGTAAAGTTCAAGTTTGCCATTCCTCATGTGCAAGTCAATATAAAAATGCTACAAGTCGTACAACTCTCTCGTCAACAAGACAGGTTGAGGGCAGGCCAGGTCCCCCTGTAGTTTGCTAAATGAAAAGGGGCTCGGATATTGGCAGGACTGCTTGCTCGTGAGTGATGAATGCACAGTCTCTACTCCCTGTATTATTATTTTTTTTTTCTCCAGCTCTTCACCGCCTATGACTGTCTGTTCATGAAAAAAGAAGAGCAGCTGTGGGAGTCTGCATCATTTCATCAAGAGCCAAAACAAGATCTCCATCCTTCGTGTCTTCTCTCTTATGGCAGAAGAGTCACCTCCCTCCTCGACTCTGAAACGCCTCTCCTCACTCTTGTTCCTATGACTTCGGCTTAGGTTGGATATTCAGTTTTTTTTTTTTCTATCTCTCCGTGTGTGTTTGTTTGTGTTTGTGTGTGTGTGTGTGTGTGTGTGTGTCTCTCACTCGCTGTCAGTCTCCAGGTCTGAATCAGACCACTGCACCGGGCTCATTTTCCCATTGCGCTGGGCATACTCGATGACTGCCGTGTAACAGAAGTAGAACTGGTCCCAGGTCTGGATGCTGAAAGCCCTTTGTGTACGCATCCGCCGCACCGTCTGACGCACGTTGACGGTGCCGATGTCCTCCAGCCGGGACAGGCAGATGTCCAGTGTACAGAAGGTGCCTGGTCAGAGGATGGGAGGGGAGTATAGGTGGCTGATGTTAGCTTATCCAGTGAGTACCAGTATCGGACAATTTAATACAGATATGTGCAGATATTACTAGATTTATTTACCAGTCAAAAACCATTTCATTTGAGTTTAATTGTATTACACTAGCAGTTCTCGCTCACCAGCAGAGGGCGCTATACGGATTACAACAAGCATGATCACTCTCCAGAGTATCTGTGATGGACGTACATTATGAGTTACTTTCCACTTGATTGACCATTTTGTCTTCATTATACCGTTTATCTTTCCACAAGTGCTGGATAACTGCATTTTAGGGATCATCCCACTAAATGTGTAAATCTATCTCTACAGATTTCTTAGATCTAAGAAAGATATCGGCGGATATCGGTATCAGGTTTTTCTCTCCCCAATAACGAAATCACTATTGGGCCCAAAAATCCCACATCAGTCGGGCCCAGCTGTCTAGGACTTAATTTGCCATGAGAGTGATCTGAAATCTTGGTGGGTTACCTTCAAGAATGCTTCAAACATTTTTTTCTTTCAGAATGCAAGCACAAATTTACTGAGGTCACTTTGAATACTTTTTTGTTCTGACTGGACGTGTACACAAAAATTAAGAATTGAAAACCAACAGCTACAGAAATCTGGAACTTTCTAATATACACCTTCTTCATTTTTTTGTTCCTTAAGTGGTTATGATTAAAATGAGAATTTCGTAGATTTGTAGGGTGAAACGCTCTAAGTATGACTGCTTGTGTTTGAGAAAAAAAGTCCAAATTTTGTGTGGAAATATTGGTTTGTTTCTCTTATGGTTGTGGATTTTCACATCAAAAATAATTTCATCTCTGTGGCAAAGCTCTGATACTGAACCAAAGCAGGCTCAACCTTTTGTTGTCTTAACTCCACCAATGGGACAAAACAACGACACATAACTCAGAGGTCGGAGAAATCGGTCTCTTAATCTACTATAACTGTGTGTTTGAACCCTCATAGTTCATAATCCCATTAGTTTACCTGTTCTGCCAATGCCAGCACTGCAGTGCACAACCACAGGGGGCCCCCAGGAGGCCCTGTCCAGCTGGTGCCCAGACTCTGCACTGCAGCCTCCCTCCTCTGAAGTACGTGTTCACGGAAGTCCAGCATGGCTGAAGCACTTTTCGGCACCCCAAAGTCTGGCCAGCTGACATAGAGGTAGTGGTACACCTCCCGTCTCTCTCCAGACTGAGGGAAGGGCACAGAGGAACTTGGATGATCGAGCACAAGGGCCCAGTATGCATGTCATGTATTGCAATATTACATAAATGGTACACTCTATGAAAGGGCCGAGATTCCACAAACAAAAGCATTCCCACATTCTTCAGTCATGAGTGTGTGTCCAAGTTAGACTGCACTAGAATTCTATGTAGATTAGAAAGCTACAAGAGAATTCAAAAAGTCTGTTTTTAGCTCAATGAACAGATTTACTTTATGCAGTCGGTGTCACTTTACCTGTGTGTTGTAAAGTTCGAGATGGGAGAGTTTGAAGTCCTGAAAGGTTTGGATGTGTGTGTTCCTGATCAAGAAGTGTCCGTGCTGCTCGGTCCTGCCCTCCTCAAGAGGCCAGTACTGACCGCACTTCACTCGGCCACGCTCCACCACCCTGAGGCAAACAGGGATCACATCATTTCAAACTTTTCTCATCGACCAATTAACGACATTTCAATCATTGGACATCCTATTCTGACTTTAATAAGTGAGTGATAAAAGGAGTCTCACCTGGTAGTCATGACGATGATAAGTACCATTTGTTCCCAAACCATTCGCCAGAAGTCGCCGAACGTTTTTGGCAAAGGACCTGAGGGTCAAAATAAACCATCAGGAGGGGGTGGTGGTAACAAGAGGAGGAGGACTATAAAAAAATCTTTGGAGTAGGATCAAAGTCCATGTTAACAGCTGCTCACCCTGAGTTGCGATGTAGGCGTTTCCTCTCTTGTACCCGTCCATGAAACTGGCATTAATGTAATCGGATGTCTGTTAGGGGGACAGAGCAGAAGAGAGGTGAGATTCACTGCTTAGTGCTCTACTGCCTCCTGTAGGTGGACAATGAACATTACACTGGATCAGGGACGTGATTCTCCTGAATAAACTGGATTTTCCAACCTTAAGAGGAGACCCACAGGACCCACAGACTAAATTGTGCGATGATGCTTTTCATTTATATACACTCATTTTTGTGTTTAGCTTGAGTTCAGGTTTGTCGCTTTAAAATCGACAGCGGTGAGCCGTGTTAAATGTTTGAGTTTATTTGCCCTTCCATACATGAAGGCTATGATATTCTGTTAGCCGCAAGGTAACGGCACAGCAAACAGCCATGTGTTGATTAAGTATGATCACACACAAACCCTGACTATTCAATACACAAAGGCAACCTGTATGCGGTCTACACTTGTAGAATTTCTGCAGTGCAGAAATATTGCTGAAACAGAGGTTAGTAAACTAAATTCCATGATGTGAACAGATGTTTGTCCGATGCTAATCGCACACCCCTGATTGAAAGAGCGGGTTCAACAAAGCGTCTGTCTTCTCACATTTGAGGCCAGACAGAAATCAAATAAAAATGTTAATATATACAATACATTATGAATCCGCAGCAGGTTCAGTCCTTCTTCTGTTTCTTCATTTAATCAGAGTCTTTTAGTCGCCAATATCAACATTTATACACGGCCATTATTTTGTCTGAAGGGCTTTTTAAAACCTGGTTTATATTCAGAAAGCATTATTAGCATGGATTACAATAACAGTGGACTCACTTTACAAAAACATAAACAGCTTGCCAAAACCACGGCCTGTCCTTTAAATGTGGTATTTTTGAAACGGGGTTGTATGAGGTACTTGTCAACAGTGGGTGTATCAGCCCAGGAGATGCAGGTCAGCTCCTTTACTGAGAAACCAGTGGGAGTGCTGGCACAGAGGCTCGGCTATACATCCCGTTTGTACCTCATAATTTAACATATTTAAAGAGAAATTAACCCATTAATCAATGACGATGTAAGTGTTCTCTATATTAAGATTTTTGTCAGTGCTTCCCTTTACCACCAGCAAGCGGCTTTGTTTTAGGACTACTTTGTCTCACCGCAAACGTGTTCGTGTTCGTGAGTAAACTTGAACAATAGTTATATTGTGAATTTAAAAAATACTGCATCCCGGTGTGAGAACGTTTTAAAGAAAAGGTGCTTATTATCATTAAAAAGAGAGAGATGTGTTGTTTGAAGAATTCATTCTTACCTCATCTTCATCATCAGAGAGCTGACATAGTCGCACCCGTGAGTGATCCAGGCAGAGAACATCGCTGTACCGGTTCTTTATCTGATTGGACAGTTTTCTGTAAAAGCAAGAAAACAGATGTTAAGAATGTGCTGACGTGTGATCTGTCACAGCATTTTCCTTCACCTTTGTACACAGAAACTGAAAAAACAAGAAAGTAAAGCAACAGGAGCTCTATGTATTTTCTGTCTCTTACTTGGAGTAGTCGAAGGTGCCTGCTGGCGGCTCCTTGCGGATCTCCTCGTACTCCTGGTAGATCCCCTTCTTCTTCTTCCTTTTCACATGCTCCACCAGATCCTGCACCGTCATGCCTCCCTGCTCTGGCATGTGAACCGACACCTCAATGCAGCGTTCCTCTTCCTCAGGATCCCATGATGAAGACAGGGGCGGAGACTGGGAGCAAGGCTGGTGAGGGGGGCGGGGCAAAGATTTCTGGGGTAATGGAGGCACCCCTTCCTCTTCGTCCTCCTCCTTGACACCCTCAGTCTGAGACATGTGGGCAGAGTCTGTCACCTTGCCGTCGACATCGTCCCCATCACCTGCCTGGGAGAGCGGTGTGTCTGGGGGCGTATCCGACTGAGGAGGGGCTTGACGACCTCGACCGTTCATGTTAGCATTGGGGCTAGAGCTGCTAACAGTAACATTAGCCCCGCTCACTGCTGAGCCATTCCAGTGTTGGTGGTTACCCTGCGGGCTCTGCTGGTACTGACCTTGAGTCCTGCCCTCCACCACACCGCAGTGGTTGTGTGGGTTAGCATTGCTATCATCATAGCAGTTAGAGTTAGCCACGGCTAGCTCAGAGCCTAGCTGCGTATTGATGTGTGTGTGGGACAGTGTAGCGCCCGCGCTCGTGTTGCTGCACTCTAAGCTGTAGGAGCGCAGCAGGCTTCCCACACAGTCGTGTGTGTCGTGGTCTTGTGTGTCACCCTGAACAGTGTTTGTGTGGGAGTTAACACAGGACTGGATCCAAGCCACATGGCTGTACTGAGATGTCCCACCCAGGTGTTCAGGGAGGGAGGAGACTGGGATGTGGCCGGCCAACTCATGGGCCTTCACTGTGCAAACCTGAGGGGACAAAGGACCCAGAAATGTAAATTCAAATACAGAGTGAGAGCGAAAAATCGTCTGCACTATGATATCGACTCCTGATAAAAACAGATACACGTACCCTCTCTCTTAGCTTCTCGCGCACAAATAGGCGTAATACGGCAAAGGGTGCTCGAAACCAAAGAGGCGATGACACAATGAAGACACATTTTAGACGAGCTGGAAAGGCCCCCTTTGAAACACAAACAAAGAGACACGTTGATGAAAATGTTTTTAATGTCAGAGAGACTGTTTCTACAACTAAAACTTGAAATAAAAAAAATAAAAAAGAGAAAAAATGTAATCCTCATTCTTACCTTGAGCAAATTGAGGATCTTGACACAGAGCTCATAGTCAAAATTTCCATAGCTGGAGTTGGTCATGTCGTAAATAAAGATGAGGCCGTCTCTCTGAGTTTGTAAACTGAGGAGAAAGGAACAAGATTTTCAGTTAAAAGAAGAGGTGAAGCAACAAAAGGTGTCTGCCGTTTAAATACACTAAATATTGAATTTGAAATAAACACAAGGTACTTGTGCCCTAATGAAAGGGTAAGGGATCCCAATATGCTCATAAGTTACATAACCTACCATATGGCCCTGAAACTATACCTATGAGGGTCTTGTAAACACTCTATAGCTGTTTAGCTGTTAGGCCTGTTGCACCAACTCTGTGTAATATGGGTCTTAAGTGTGAGTGCAAAGTCCACATTAAGCCCTATGGTGAAAAAAAATAATTTGGAGAAAGAGTGAAAGAATTGGGAAAGGAAAGTAACAAGCACTGACATAAAGCAAGGTGCAAGCGAACGACAGCAACAAGTTGTGTAAAGTGAAAAAAGAAGAGCATGTCAGGGAATCACCTCTCTATGGCTTTGTCCAGCTGATAGATGATGGCCTGCAGCACAGCTTTGTGGGTGGTGATGTCTGGCCGATGGAGGCGAGCAGTGAAGAGTGCCAGCGCAGCACCCTTTGCATCACGGCCGGGCTGCAGGGAACAAAAAACATTCATGAAGAGACACAATGGCAAACTCATCGTTAATGACCTGCATGTGTTGGTGTGTAACTGTCAGTAGTTACTTCCTCTACACTCACCAGGACTGTAAACTTGCCACTCAGCAGCTCTGAGCGTAGGGGGTCTTCGTCAGGGTTGATATTGATGATGCCCTCTTTGATTCTTGTGTTCTACATTTGATTTATGAGACGGAAGGGAATAGCAAAGTCATTGGCTTGCAGATAAAAATGGCATGTAAACAAACAGCATGAAAAAAATGAATTACCTGTCTTTAATTTGTCTAGTGTTCGTCTTCATAAATTCAATAGAAATGTTGTCTTTCTAGTATGAGGGGGACTGCAATGTAACTTCCAATGTCATATATCTAAGATTCTTTAATTATTTGCTCTTACTCAGAAGAGAGTAAAACAGACGCGCTCAGAAAAAGAACCCTGAGGCAGCAACATTAAATGATCTTATCCCTTTAATGTAAAAACGATTACAGTTTGTGTTCATGGGTATAAATGTACTTAAGCTCTAATTGCATGTACGACCATATAAGCCTGATGAAATTATTCATAGTTCTAATCACAACAGAGCAATGTTCAGGTCAGGGCAGCTGAATCTTCCCCCCTCTGGATTCCTTCAGCCTTAACTAAGCCCAGTGGTCAGTGATCTCAGAATTTCTCCAATAAAAGCACGCCCGTACCTTGTATGCTTGGAAGAGGTCGATGGCTCTGGTGACGTCGAACTTGCGGGCCATAAGAAACTTTACAGCTGTCGGTTGGGAGACGAGCCCAGCACTGTGAGGCTGCTCCCTGCTACGCACCTCACTCAGGAACTCCTCCACAGCCTGGACAAACACAAAGAGGACATGTAAGAAAAAGAAAGGTGAGACAAACCAGAGGACAATTCATAAAAGCTCAGAATTTAGGGAGTGCAGCATTACAAAGAGTATAAGGGAGATTAGGATGTAAATTAAATGCTTTTTACTCCATTTCCTGAAGTGTCATACAGGCGGCAGCAGCAGCAGGCTTTGCTCCTGGAAGACACACTGGATGCAGAGCCAGGAGACAATTGTGAGCCTGTGTTGGCCTGTATGAGGTGTCAGTCCACGAGGACCAAAGAAAAACTGATGAAAGTACAAGGTGTCCCTGTGAATTATTCGGTGAAACAACCAGACCCTGATTCATCTAGTCTCATGATTATTATTTTTTATATTTTTTGAATGAGCCTTTTAATAACCATACTTTTAAAATAAACAGAGAGAACTACAAAAAAAACTAATCTGTCATGAGCATTGCCAAACATCAGACAGAAAGTTAAAGGTGTAATTGGCCCACAAGATTGATTGCAATAAGAAAAAAAAGGCGCCATGCATGAGATATATTGCAAGTGCATCGGGGGCGGCAGTTGCTCATTCCGTAGGGACTTGGGTTTGGAGCTGGAGGGTCGCCGGTTCAAGTCACGGTGCGGACCAAAAATAGGGAAGCTGGAGAGGTAACTTCCAAGTACTGCCGAGGTATCTTGGAGCAAGACACCAAATCCCCAACTGATTCGCTCCCTGTGTAGCAGCCCCACTCTGACATCTCTCCACTAATGCATGTCCACAGGTCCTGTTTGTGTCCCGTGTGTGTGAGAAGCATGTCTCTGAAATAACAGTGTAAACCAGAATCCCCCTCAAGGATTAATAAAGTATTAAAAAAAAAAAATCATAAATCATATTTCCCCTGGTTGGAGCTCATGGAGGATGCCTTTAATCAAGCTTTGGGCTTTACTCTGTTGAACAGCATCACCAGGGTCGTTATTAGCTTCTGTGGGTATACAGCAGGGATGAGCAACTTTGGTCACAGCAAGGGCCACATTCATTTAATTCTCACCGCCAGAGGTCCAAATAGTAGTATAAAAAAAAACAATCAATTATGTCTCAAATTAAACTCAACATATATCAGTGATGAAATATTATGACAGATTTTATATGGCAGATTTTGTCAAGTTTTTCTTTATGTTTCTACTTAATTGATATTTAAAAATTTATCTGAGGGCCACGTTAAGGGTTGAGGGGTCGATGGGGGCCCACATTGCACCGCTTCAACCCCCTCATTGCAATCAGTGCATCTCTGCAGTTCATGCCCCCCCCCTCCATCAACCCCTCAACGTGACCCTCAGATCAATTTTTAAATATCAATTAATTAGAAACAGGAAGAAAAACATGACAAATGCCATGAAATCATAAAAAAAAAAAAAAAAAAGAAATATGTCCATGATAATATTTCATCAGTGATATATGTTGAGTTTATGTTGGCAGTAATCCAACACACATCAACAAGTCGCTGGTTTCTGTTTTGCATCCCTCAGGGCAGTAATTCATGCATGTGGACCTGGTGAAGGAAGCTGTAAGTTAACTTATCAGCAGCAGCTCGACCTGAGACCTCTACTGATCAGATAACCTTGTTGAATACTTGATGGGAGATCAAAGCAGAAGCTCGGGGGGGGGGGGGGGGTGCAGAGATTTCAGCAGAACATCCCGATGACATTTGCTATTTGCGATCAAAGTAAAAGGCCCACCCTTTTACTAGAAAGCGATGGCAACAACAATGCTAGGAAACCAGAGGAAACCCTCTTCTGTGAATTCTCCTCAAGTTGAGTCTGATCAGCTAGCTGTGCGGCTCACACCAAACACTCTCAGGTTCATCACCTCGGCTTGTATGAACTGTGTCACTGCACGTACACACAACCCTCACATGCAGTAGTCTTTGCTTGGTCGTTTTTAAGCCTTCACACTGCGGGGGGGAAACATGATTTTTTTTTTTCCCACAAGAATAACAGTGGAGGAAATTCCCTGCAAGTCAACAATAGCTGTTAGCATGTAGCGGCTAGGATACATGTGGCAACTGGATGAGCTAGTGAAAAAAAAAGCGTAATAAAACCAGAAGTCACAGATTTATGGAGCAAATTAAAAAAGGTGAGGAGGTGCCACGGGTTTTCTTAAAAGACGTGGACATGCTGTTGGAGTCTATGTTAACGAGGACTCGAGTATTAAGAGTGCACAGCCGGTTAAGTGTTCCCTACTGTTCAGCAAACGCCACCATGCTAACACATGCTAACACATGCTAACTGCTGTCAGTAGACTTCGGAGGGGGCGAACGGGCCGGGACTATTTCACGACCCCTCGGCGTCTCCAGTGACATTCAGCGTAACAAAATACACGTGAGAAATCTCCGGTTGGCGCTGTGTCTGGAGCTGACATGTACACACTGTTAACGGGACCGGGAGATGAGGAAATGTGTCGTAAAGAGAGCCTTACCAGCTGCTCCTGAGTTGTCAGGGCTTCCGCCATCTTGAAGCCTCCGCGACGTCGAAGCGGGCGCGCCCACCAGCCGCTCGCTCACGCCCTACACCCCGAGGCAGAGACCACCGAGGCCCCGCCCACATGTACTCGCTTCAGACCACCGAGGCCCCGCCCACAGGTACTCGCTTCAGACCACCGAGGCCCCGCCCACATGTACTCGCTTCAGACCACCGAGGCCCCGCCCACATGTACTCGCTTCACCACCGAGCCCCGCCCACATGTACTCGCTTCAGACCACCGAGGCCGCCGCCGCTTCACATGTACTCGCTTCACTACAGAGCAGAGCCTTCTTTTTTATGTGTAGGCCTACTATATATATATATATATATATATATATATATATATATATATATATATATATATATATATATATATATGCAGTTTATGAATTTTAAATTGGTAACAGTGATAAAAAAATAAAAAAATAATAATTTAATATAAATATATATATATATATATATATATATATATATATAGGAATATATATAGGAAATTAATATATTGAATGAAACTTTGAATATATGGAAGTTTCATTCCATATATTCAAAGTTTCATTCAATATATTAATTTCCTAAACGGCTTGCCATATTATATATATATATATATATATATATATATATATATATTTGACATATATATATATATATATTAAATTATTATTATTTTTTTTTTATCACTGTTACCAATTAAAAATTCATAAACTGCATTTAATCAGAAAGTTTTACAACTGACAGTATAGCAAATAAAGTCAGCATACCAGTGTTTTCTTTTATTTATGTTAGCTATACAGTTTTCAAAAGTTACAAACTCTAGTATTCATAAAGATACTGACATGTTCCAAATTGTTAAGTATTAGATAGTCTTGTTTACTTTAGCCATGAGCATATTTGATGCAGAACTGAACCTGTTCCCACAGTTTCCACAGTTTACATATCAGTGTGTTCATTTTTCCTGAACTTTGCCCACAGATTTGTAAACTTGCATATCCGTGTGCACTGACTTCCAAATTTACCTTAGCCTTCAGGGGCCTTGTAAGTTTCAGTAAGATGTTGTTTCCCTTCAAAGCAGGACATTTTCTATCCCCCTTCCCCTTATTTTGTTGTAATAAAAATATTGCAACAATGTCCAGCTTTCTACGGATCTATTAACTGAAAAATATACTAAAGTTATATACATGAACTTCGTCTGGCTTTGGGGCGAAGCAGCAACTGGCTCTGGAGGAAGATGAATGTCTCCAGTTGGGTTGCAGAAGTGAAGTTTCAAATTTCTTAGTATTAAAATGAATATTATTTTTTACATAATATGTGGTAATGATGCATAACATTTAAACTATGGAAGGGATCTGATTAAAAAAAAGCCACAAGAAAATGAGCATTGAGGATGTGAGGAATTTTGAATGATATAACTACAAAGTAATATTCTCAATGACTTAATGAGTGTATGTACATGATAATATACGTTTTTAATATGTCGTGTAGCTGAGGATAACTGTAAATATGAAAGTAAAGACTGATAGAATAAGTCGCAAAGACGACAGGGCAAGAGGAACTGTTCAATCGGGGGCTTTTGTTAACATCGGACTGTTATTGTGGAGCACCGGGGCAGCGCTTCGGCGGCCTTTTTGACTTGTTTCTGCCTTACAGAAACATGAAACATGTTTACACTTTGTACTCTGTCCACGCGTGTTTTCGTGGCCTCTCCTTTGTTCGTCATCTTTAGAGTTTTGTTTGTAAACGCGTGTCAAGAATCCGACTGATGTCATGCCCAATCAAACCTACACACACACGAGTTTAACACTTGTTCAATATGAACACCGCGAAGAAGAAAAGCTACATGGGACAGCATCAGGTGAAGAAGAAACCAAGGTGAGGTTACATCACAGTTTAATTTCATACTTAATGTGAATCATTTAAGGATGCTTATTGCCGGATTCACGTGGTTGCTTAGCAACATCTGTCATTCATTGTCACATGTCTTTATGTGTGTGTGTGTATTTCCATTTCTGTCCATCCTCATGTGAGCATACATCTTTCTAACCACAGCTTCCAAGCTCCTGATGAGCCAGCGGACGGAGACAGACCGTGTCATGAAACAAGGTGTCTGTCTGACAGAACAAACAGATCAGAGAACACGGGCCTCATGGTGAGTGTGACAGCGATTAGTTCAGGATTTGTCTCAAGCCTTCTTTCTCAGATGACTCGTTTGACTTTCACTGCAGGGCGGAGGAGCCGTGTTCCCACTGGGAGAATCCACATTGGCTCTGGATGAAGAGATGCTGCAGGTGTTGGAAGCTGCGGACCAGCCGAAGCCCGTCGCTAAGCGTGCTCGCCCATCAGCAGTGGAGAGGGATGAGAAGGAAGAGTCGGCAGCAGCAGCATCGTCGTCATCATCATCTGTCTTTGCCGTGCCGCGGCCTCTTGCACCAGTTTCAGGCGATAAAAGGGCGAGCGACAGAGCCCCTCAGCCCACAGGACCCCACAGAGCCCTCAGCACCCTGGAGGCAGTCTGTGAGCGCGGCAGACCAGGATGGAGAGATGACTGTAAAGAGCTGGCTCAGAGGCTTCTCTTCAGCGAGGACTCTGGGGGATCTCATCCAGAAATAAAAACTGATCAGCGAGAAGGCATTTCATCCAAGTGAGGCTTCACCGGCACATCAGTTTTTAACTGTTGAAATTATTACGAGTGTTTTTAAATAATGTTAGCCCTGTACAAATGGATTTATGGACAGTTTTCTTCTGTTAACAAATGTTTTTTCTTACTTTATGCCTTTCAATAGGCAGACGGTAACATCCAGAAGAAGAAGCTCTCCTCGCAGCGACGGCGAACGTGGAGCGAACGTGAATGCCGATCCACCTCTGGAAGTATCCAGGGACTACATCTTATTCAGCCCCACCCGCCTCGCAGCGGCCATGAAGAAGGCCAAACTGCAGCAGTCCATCCAGAACGAGTCGGTCTCCGTGCTCACGGTCCCCAACGGGTTAGACCTCAGCACTCTGACTGATACGTTACCTCAGCCAGGTGGAGTCATCTCATCAGTCATTAAACTTTTTGTTTTTTGTAAAGTGTCTCGAGATAACACTTGTTATGAGTTGACGCTATACAAATAAAAATTGATTGATTAAACCTGTCCTTAAGGGAGATCTTTTCTGCCATTGCAGTTTTTTTTATGCTATTTTTAATTTGATTTGAAGTTTTTATTTCAAATGTAGAAAAAAAAAGAAAAACAATGTGTCCAAAGCAAACAGCAGGCCATCCCCACCAACGAGACATGAGAGAATATTACAGTTCAAAGTGCTCTACATGATGTTGAAGTAGTTAAAATTATAAAATTATGAAATTCTGTGAACACCAGTTGCCCACTTTGTCGACTTGGTAGTCCAGATTTCCTCTATTGTTGAATATTTCTCCAGATCTTTGTAAATAATTAAATACATAAATGACACTTGATTGTGTATCTGATGTTTGAAAATAATCCTCATACTCGTGTCACGTTTCTTTTCCGCTCGACTTTAGGCATTGCCTTGCATGCTCCTGCGGGACAAGCTGAGAAGCTGCTGCTCTCCAGCTGGGGTTTACCAAAACCCATCCTGGAGCGCTACCACAAACACGGAGTGACTCACATGTTCGAGTGGCAGGCTCAGTGCCTCTCTGTGGGACAGGTGCTGCAGGGAGGAAACCTGGTGTACTCTGGTAGGAGACTGCACATCACTCTACGATAGGACTGTCATGATATCAGATTTTGAAACTTGGATAGGATTCCAGTAAAAATCAAATGATGTTGATACCTGTTTCAATAACTCAGCAACAAAAGCTACATGTCCTGGGGCACTCATGGCCAAGCGGTCAGGTCACGCCCCATATATCTCTCTTCCTGGTTTCTGACTTTATCCACTGTCTTATTTTTATTTTTTTACCGCACAGCTCCCACATTGCGCATTTTGTACATTTTGTGTTTTTTATTGTTTATTTTTGTTTTTTATATCTTATATTTTACATTTTTAAATTCTATTTTATATATTGTAATATCTTCCAGTGTTTCCCCTAGGTTTACAGCGTTGGGGGGGTGGGGACAAGCCGACATGCCGACACAAACACTGTTTATGTTTATAGGAATCTTGGTGTTCATGTGTTACTTTTAATGACAGATGTCCTTTTCTATTGGAAAGGTATCCTTAAATGACTTTTTTCCTTGATTTCTGACTCTATCCACTATCCTATCCCTACAATATAGGCCCAAAAAGCCCCAAAATAAATCTTACTTAACCTCCAGGGGGGGCGTTGGGGGGGTGGGCCGCCCTCCCAATATAATGGTAGGGGAAACACTGGCTTCTTATGCTGTACTATTTAAGTTGTTGCTAGTTTTGCGTTATTTCCTTGTTAATTGTTTAGCACCAATACACCAAGTCAAATGTGTAAATGTACTTGGCAATAAACCCCGATTCTGATTCTGAAAAAACGACAGGTCCTAAGCAACCAATATATTGGGCAATTTCTTATTTTTAATTACCAAAAAAAATGCAGGCAAACTTCTGCATTCTGTCTTAATTGCACAAATACATTGGCAATATTCAATGTTGCCAATGTATTTGTGAAATGAAGACATACTATCTGTCGTTAGAGCAACAGATTGTATCATATTAAAACATGGTGTATGGAAAAGTATAGAGGTAATCTTACTCTACAAGGCAGCTCACAGGGTCAGTCACCTTTTTTTTCTCGTCTTATGATGCCTTTGTGTTCAGCCCCCACTAGTGCTGGAAAAACTCTGGTGTCAGAGCTGCTGATGCTGAAACGTGTGTTGGAGACCAAAAGGAAAGCTCTCTTTATTCTGCCGTTTGTCTCCGTGGCCAAAGAGAAGATGCACTACCTTCAGGTGACATAAAAGGTGGACATAAAAAAACGTACACGTTATCCGTCTCAGTCTGATAACAGGTGTGTACCTCTGGGTTTTTGTAGAGTGTATTTGAAGAGGCGGGAGTCCGAGTGGAGGGATACATGGGCAGCACCTCGGCTGCAGGAGGCTTCAAAGCTCTGGATGTGGCTGTTTGCACCATCGAAAAGGCCAATTCTCTCATAAACAGACTGATTGAAGAGGACAGTCTGGGTCTGCTAGGTAATATACCAGAAATATGATTGTGTTTTATTGAGTATGAATGATAGGTTAAAGTTGTTTGTAATGTGTGTTTTACCAGGTGTGGTGGTCGTGGATGAGTTGCATATGGTCGGAGATTCTGGGAGAGGATACCTACTGGAGCTGCTCTTGACCAAAATCCGCTTCGTTGCACAGAAGCAGAACACAAGCGGGTTAGTGTCCATTTATCAATGAATATATCGAATATACTGTAGCATCACAACACAACACAACAAAAGTCATCTCTTGGCACTTTGCACATCGCTCAGTTTTAGACCGTTCTCTTTGTTATATCACAACCCTGTCTCAAAAAAAAAAAAAAGGTTGAGACACTAGCCAGTTTTCACATAGGCACTCAGGATAATATCGAGGACTGCTCCAGAGATTTTCCAGACCTGGCTGTTCACATATGCTCCTCACAGCTGGAGACTATCACTGTCAGACCGGAGGGGGAGGGGGAAGGGGGGAGGGTCTCTTAAAAAAGAGCGGAGAACAACTCTATGCACCGTGCAGCGGTCCCAGGATAGAAACGTCACTCCCCCTCCTATTGGCTCGAGGTGAATTCTCCGGGGAATATCCTGCGGTGTTCTCACATCAGCCCACTCGGACTTGCTGCGGAAAAAAGTACTAGTGGTCTGGCAGGAGAAAGTCCGGGGGAAGACAGAGTGAATAATTCGGCTGTATTCTCAGCTCCACTTTTGCAATTTCTGCCAGTGGGAAAACAGTAACTGTCTAAGATAACAAACAGAATGTGATTTTCCAAACATCGAAACCCCATATTTGATTGTAAAATAGCACACATAATGAGAGACAACCACACAAACAGAGAGGAAGACGTACATAAAGAACACTTAAATAACAACAGATAGGTCTTATGTAATAACTAGAGTGTGTTCTGCCACATGTATGACTGAGTGAATCCACTCTCTCTCCGTAGGTCACTCTCTGAGGGCGTACAGATCATAGGTATGAGCGCCACCTTGCCCAACCTCTCCCTCCTGGCCAGCTGGTTAGGCGCAGAGCTCTACCAGACAGACTACAGACCCGTACCCCTGCAGGAGCACCTCAAGGTGGGCTGCAACATCTACGACAGGAGCCTCTCTGTGGTGCGGCAGTTCACGCCTGTGCTCCACGTTAAGGTAATGGAATCTAGTTTCCGATGCAAAGCGTGTGCTGTCATGATGGTGTCTCGTCTCATGAGACCATTGACGCGCTGTTTGTTTACATGTTTCACATTCATTCAGGGGGATGGTGACCACATCGTTAGCCTGTGCTATGAGACGGTGAGAGAGAGACGCTCTGTGCTGCTGTTCTGCCCTTCAAAGAACTGGTGTGAGAAACTGGTGGACAGCATCGCCAGAGAGTTCTACAACCTCAGACATATGGGTAACTTGGATTTAAATATCCTTTAATAATCATTTAGCCTTTATGCATGCTGCTTTTGATAGTGTGAAGAAGTCAAACTACCTTGTTCTTGTTTTGTGCAGCATTGTGGATTTTTAGGATGGCCTTTGGTTTGAGAGTCAAGTTGAACTCAGGGGCTTAATAACCTTAATGTTAAATCGAAGCATTTTCAAGAACTGCAGTACTAAAAGAAGCCTTTCAAAGGGGAGGTGACACGTCTTCAAAATCTTCAACCAAGTCCAGTTGCCTTTGGATCCAGCTACTATGTGCAGTTGAGAAGTCCAATGCTGTCACTTACAAGTTAACTTCTCATCAGATTTATTGTCTATACCACCCATGCACGGCTTCATCAATTTTGTGCCGATACTGTCTTTGGTATTGGTATACTGGTAATGGTATTGGAACAACTTGGGCAGTATAAAAAAAAAAAAAAAAAGATTCCTGACCTTTGAGCAAGTTCCACAAGAAATTCTGAAGATGTGTGGATTCATGGGAGAGCAGGGTTTTTTCTTTAAAACGTCAGTTCCAAAGCCTTTACAAGGGCAGATACTGATCGTGGTGTCATTACTGGTATCAGAACATCTCTGGCTGTATATATCAAAAATGTAGCTCAAACTATCTGCAAGTTGCACAGGAAAGTCTGCAGATTGTGTGGACTCAGTAAAAGGGGCAGAATTTTACTTTGAAAAGTCTACATCAAAGCCTTTACGGGTCCATGATTCCAAAACTGGAGATTAGAATTGGGGCTGAAATGTATTCAAACTGTGGTCTCCTGCTTCCAGATCGGCAGGGTGAAGCAGCGCCTGAGCCTGTAAGTCTGGATCAGGAGGGACTGGTGGATGTTATCGCCCAGCTGAGACGAACTCCAGCTGGTTTAGACCCCATCCTCCAGCGAACTGTGCCATGGGGGGTGGCCTTCCACCACGCAGGTGAACCCACTTTACACAACCTGTTTACAATAACAAACTCCAGTGAAGGGTGACCCGTTCATAAAATGAGAAACATCTTGATTCTGCAGGTTTGACGTTTGATGAGCGGGATGTGCTGGAGGGAGCTTTTCGACAGGGCATGCTCAGAGTCCTGGCCGCCACCTCCACCCTCTCCTCAGGGGTCAACCTCCCCGCTCGAAGGGTCATCATTCGAACACCCACCTTCAACGGACGCCTGCTGGACCCACTCACATACAAACAGATGGCCGGACGAGCTGGGAGGAAGGGAGTGGACACGATAGGTATGGAGGGAGTTTGGACAAAAAAACCCTAAAAAACACAAGAACTTGATTATAAGTTAATAAGTTTATCAAAGGAAAACACATTTTGCGTTTTGATCTCTTCCAGGTGAGAGTGTGCTGGTGTGTAAGGAGGCAGAGCGGCAGAAAGGTGTTAGTCTCCTTACAGGTTCCCTTAAGCCAATCAGCAGCTGCTTGGTGAGAAGGGAGGGAGAGGGAGTCACCACCAGCATGCTGAGAGCCATCCTAGAAGTAAGCCTGAAAACTCAATGACCCGAGCACACATGAAAAAGACTTAAGAAAGTAAAGTAAAAACATCATGATGAATACCTACTTGCAGATTATCGTCGGAGGAGTAGCCAGCACTCCACAGGACGTGACTTTGTACGCTTCCTGCTCTCTACTGGCTGCCAGCATGAAAAGTGACAGCGAGAAAGACTCAAATGAAGAGACCAGTAAAGGAGCTATTGAGGCCTGCGTGGAATGGCTGATGGAGAATGAATTCATCAGCATCCAGAGAGAAGAACAAGGTACGGCCAATTGTGCTCTTCTTCATCTTCAATGAGCATCTTTTGACATTTTATGAAACAAGAGCAGGAATTTTCTGTATTCTTTCCTCAGCATTATAAAGTGTACAAACCAAAGATTTGCCACCTTTGCTGTGACAAATTGATCCAGTGTCTCTGACACATTGATGTCTGATTGCTGTTTACTGTTTGTGCTGATTTTATTTTAGATTTATTTCTTAATGTATACAGTTTGGTTTGGTTGTGAAAAAGCGGGTCAGCATCTCCAAGTCTGAGGCGATGGCTCACTGATGGGAAACGGTGGATTGCTTCCTCCAGATGGATCTTGAGATTGACAGTAATGTGCTTGTTGTAACCAGACGGTCATGGTGAAGAAGGTTCTGAGCCTAATGGCAAAGCTTTCGATTTACCAGCTGATGTATTTTCCCATCCCCCACCTAAGGTCATGAGCGTTGGGTAGGAATGAGAGCGGGGATACAAGAAGCTGAAATGAGCTTCCTCCAAAGGGTGGCTGGACAAAAGTCAGGGAGTTCGGAGTAGACCTGCTACTCCTTCCCATCAAAAGGAGCCAGCCGAGGTTATTCGGGCATTTGATAAGGACGCCTCCTGGAAGCATCCCTTTGAAGGTTTTCTGGGCACGTCAAACTGCGAGTAAACCCAGAGTAGACCCAGAACTTGCTGGAGGGATTGAATATCCAATCTGGCTGTGAAGTGCTTGAAAAACTGCAAGGGAGAGGGATGTCTGGGTCTACTTGCTTAGCCTGCTGCAACAGTGACCTGACCTTTTTATAAGATGGAAAAAAAGACTGCATGGATGTACTGGATAGATGGTTGAGAAAATGAATTGCCTTTCTGGGATATGAAAAGTTATTTGGATTCTGGGCTGATGTGATTTCTTTTTTTGTGTGTGTCTTTAAATATCTAGAGGAGCGCTACTGTCCAACCCAGCTGGGTGCTGCCACTCTTTCATCGTCCCTCTCTCCTCCTGAGGCTCTGGGAATATTTGCGGATCTCCAGCGAGCCATGAAGGGCTTTGTTTTGGAAAACGACTTGCACATATTATATCTGGTACTTAATGCAATTACCATCGTTCCTGAACCCTCAAACAATACATTCATGATATAAATAAAAAACTTAAATTCAAGTTTTGAGTTAAAAAAAAAAATCAAACTCAAAATCATGCCTCAATGCTCCTCAGATAACGCCGTTGTACGCAGAGTGGACCACCATAGACTGGTATCAGTTCTTCCGTCTGTGGGAACAGCTGTCGTCATCCATGAAGAGGGTGGCAGAGCTGGTGGGCGTTCAGGAAGGTTTTCTCGCCCGATCAGTCAGCGGCAAACTTGTAGCCAAGACAGAGAAGCAGCGCAGACAGATGGCTGTCCATAAAAGGTAACGAACATGTTTTTACATGACGAGTATATTTATTTTGTACCAACTGCTTTTTATTTCTTTATTCTGCCTTTTCCTATCGCCTCCCAACATTGTTACCATTAAAGAGAAGTGACTGTTAAAGGATTGCTCCAAACAGAAACAGTTTCCAGTGTGTTTCTGATCACCTGGGACGTCTGTTTTGTTGTCTCCTCCCAGGTTTTTCACCACACTTGTGCTACAGGATCTGGTGAACGAGGTGCCTCTCGCAACAGTGGCGTCCAAATACAACTGCAATCGTGGTCAGTTACAGTCTCTCCAGCAGTCTGCCTCTACATATGCAGGTAGGTTTCATGTTACACTGCAGAATGAAAAAACACTAGCAGCCACAACATTATGACCATTATGCAATCTAATGCAATCCAATACATTAGTTCTACTCGGGCTGATCTATGGACCACAAATCATATCTCAATATTTTTGAGCTGAATGGCGGTACACAATATATATATATATATAGATTTTTTTGCCAAATGTCACCGAGGTACTTTTGTGAAAATACATAAAATAAACAATGTTTTTGTGACAATTGTTTTTTATAAATAAAAATGCTCCTTAAAATAAAATTCCTTTCCTGCATTATGAAATCCACACAGCTGTGTGCTGCTGCCTGTATTGACCAGGACACTCTTGAAAAAGAGATTTTTCATCTCAGTGAGTTTCTTTCCTGGTTAAATAAAAAATAAATTACAAGATTATTGAAGTCGTGGGGAGCAAAACATTTTTAAAACACCTTTCAAAATAATGCACCCCAGTACACCTGCACCACCACCCACTATGACTTAATTTATAGATATAAAGTGCAGTGATCACCTATCTGACCTTGTTAAGATAAAACGAAAATGTAGAAGCTTCTTCAAAGTAGAATTTATGGTAGAGCTGACGTATTAGATTGCATTAAGCTGCACAGGTGGGTCATAATGTTACGGGCGAGCAGCGTACCATAGAATTCTACACAAGACTTGACAATCCAAAGGTAGGGCTGTTACAGGTAAAGTAACATGATGCAAGAAGCAGAAGCACTCTAGACTGATGGATAAACAGCCTGGACTTCCATTAGCTGGTGTTTCATCCCGTGCATGCTTCTTTAAGAGCCATGTATCAATCATTCTAGAGTGCAAATGTTTCCTGCATCAAGTTACTCTGAGAGGGTTTCTGAGGGCCGTGTGTTTGTCTCCATGTGGGTATAACTCTTATTCAAATGCACAGTTCTGCAGCAGACCTTAAATGCTCACCCCGTCCCCGTCCCTGCAGGTATGGTCACAGTGTTCTGCAAGCGCCTGGGCTGGCACAACATGGAGCTGCTGTTGTCTCAGTACCAGACCAGGTTGAGCTTCGGAGTCCAGAGGGAGCTGGTGGACCTGGTCAGAGTTTCCCTGCTGAATGCGACACGAGCCAGAACGTTGTACGCTCAAGGCCTCTGCACTGTAGCTGAACTCGCCAGAGCTTCTGTCGCTGATGTGGAGAAAGCCTTGAGGAACGCTGTGCCGTTCAAGAGGTGTGTCTGTGTTTGTTTGCTTGTGTGTTTGTGTACAAGATGAATACATAATGGGTTAAGGTAAATAAGGATTTGAGGCCCTTAACGGTGCAAAAGCTACTACAAGGTAAGAACCAATTGCTGAGGGTTTGTTCCCACTGTCAGCTGACACATTTATTTTCTTAAGTGATTTAAAAAAAGCTTAAACAGCCGACTTTGCCCTTATTTCATAAAACAATTACAAAGGGTTTAATGCATTAACACCAATACATTCATACATATTGAAGAGGTCTGAGGCACTCAGAGGAGTATGTATTAAAAACCTTTAATTCATCAGGGCTACAGATTCATAAAGTAGCCCTGATGAATGAAAGGGTTTTAATGCATACCTCTTCAATATGTATGAATGTTGCTTTTATTCCATGAAAGCAAACCACAACTTGATTTCAGCGGGACAAAGACCTGTATCATTTTGATCATTAGTCACCGCCTCATACTGTTCTTACTTATCAAGGAATGGGCTCTTTGGTGATGTGTGGTTAACTCATAGACTGTGTGAAAGATGGACGTATCTCACTGACAACAGCCATTGGTTTCTGAAGTGGCATTTTAAAGGCCAACACTGGCGGTTGCCGTATTGGAAATGATATCTTGAAATAAGTTTTGATCAATCTAGAAACAAGCACAGAGTTTGAGCTGAGCAAACATCCACTGCATGTCCACCTGTCGGCCAACTTATCCATGTCCAAGATTCTGCAAATTATTGAAGAAATAAGAAATGTGTCGACCAATAAAGACATGAGCTATCGATACCAATTTAGTTCTTTGAACCAGGCTGTAAACATGTTTATTTCTGCTTTGAAATGTGTGTTGTAGTATGGGACAGAGTGGGGATTCACATCTTCTGCAGTTGTTGAAAACTGGAGGCTGCCTCTCAGGTTAACTCCCTAACATGTTAGTCGATTATTATCTCAGATCAGCGAAGGAATCAAAAAGTGTGCAATGAAAACTGTGTAAAGTTCATAAATCCAAGAAAGTTGGAGTGCTCGCCCTGCCTTGGTCTTTGTCTGGTCTCTGGTATGTCTTGGTCTTGGTTAGTGTGTTCTTGGCTATAACACTACTGTCCATCATTAAAATGACAGAGATCATATCGTTCTAGATCACACTAGACAACATTTTGACAACACTGTGATCTGACGCTGTCACCACCTGTCTCCCTCAGCTCTAAGCGGGCCGTGGATGAGAGCGAGATGGAGGCAGCCGAGAGACGGAGCCTCCGCTGCGTCTGGGTCGCTGGTGGTCGCGCCCTGACCGAACAGGAAGCAGCTGTTGAGATCGTGTCCGAGGCAAGGCTCCTCCTTCAAGAAGACCTGGCCCAGCTGGGGATTCAATGGGACCCAGCGTCACTTCCTCCCGAGGCTCCTGCTGTGCACAGCCCGCGTGACCGGCACAGCAGGAACTCTGATTCATCGTCCGCGTCCAGTGTCAGCCCTCATGAAGCACAGGCGGACAGCAAAGACCGTCGGGGAGAACACAAGGCGAAGAAAAGTAAAAGTGGAGAGGTAGCAAAAGATGAAAATCGTGAGAAAAGGACGACTGAAAGGAAAACAGAAGAAGCTGAGGCAGAAGTCAAACAGGAGGAAGGGACGTTTATGTCTGATGAGCCAGAAATCAGACAAAAGGGCGGTGAAGTGCAAGTGGGAAGAAGCAAAGCAGCGGAGAAAGATGAGACAAATAAAGAAGAATTAATGGAAAGAGAGTCTGAAGCTAAGGATCCAAAAACAGAAACGCAAAGGAAAACAGAGGCAAAAGAAAAGGAGACGAATAAAGAGAATAACTCTGCCGGATCTGAGAATCACAAAGGAGATCACCCTGTTCCTGAAAAGAGTCTGACACAGGAACTGGCTGAGATTCTATCCAGCCCTCTACCTCAACCAACACCACCTCGTCAGTCCCTCCCCTCCCCGATGCCCCCACCTCGATTCAGAGCTCCGGCGGCCCGAGCGGAAGAGCAACGCAGTGTGACGCCAAGAGGAGAGGGCAGCGCAGGGTTTTCTGCCTCACCTGTGCAGCCGGGTAGACTGAAGCACTCAAGAGCTTTAAGCAAAGTCCTCCACTCTATTCAGACTGACAGAAGAATACAAGATCACGTGGAGGCTGCACAAACATCCCACCCACACCCCTCAAGTGTCCAAAATGTAGGCTTGTAGGCCAAACATCTACAGAAAAACCACTGTGTGTCTCCACACCGACCAATGCAGATGTAGATTCTCCCATGTCCGCGTCTCCTGCTTCAGTCCCCTTATTCTCTCCTGAAGCCAAGCGCAGAAGGATAGACGGCAAAGAGGCGGACAAGTTCTCGTCTCCTGAGCTGTACGCAGGGAGTGATGGAGAGGAAGACGCCGAGGGAGGCGTTAAAAAAGGAGAGGATAGCTTCGGGGAAAGCTTTGAATTGGACACTCAGACGGAAAGGATCATTGTTCAGCAGGCGAGCCAACACAGAGACGGAAACGATAGATGTGTTATCCAAGAAGTAGAGACGATTAAGAGAAGAGGGGAGGGAACAGGAGGAGCGGCTGTTGAGATTGAAAGAGACACAAACGAGGAGAGGTTGGAAGCTCCTGTAGATGCATGTCCCAGATTTAATATATCTCTCACAGACAGCCAGATGGAGCTCCTCCTCAACACCAGCCAACAGGTGAGTCATCCATTAACATGTTGATTTAACATCTTTTGTATACCAATAGTTTGCATCTGAAAAATCTAAAGCTATGATTTTGTGTTGACAGATTTCTCCTGGTCCAGCTGTTGATGACGTAGTTAAAGATAAAGACGAAGGTGCCGAAGAGAATGAGGCCCTCGGTGTCGATCAGGGAGAATCAGAGAGCGCTAACAGGAGCAACAGCTTCCTGTTCGACAGCCTGTACAGCAGCTCTCTGCTGGCTGGTCTGAGCCCGCCACAGATTCTTAACCAATCAGATGAGGAGGAGGAATCAGCCGGCCAGGAGATCAGAGAGGAGTTCCCCGTTCCATCAAGCCAGGAGCGCAGACGCAGCGAGCTTCTGGCCAATCAGGAGGCGGAAGAGCAGGAGGCGATGCAGTGGGGCGAGTCCTCCTTCAACCTGTCCGAGTGGGGCGACTCGCTCTACGTGGGCCAACACTTCCTGGAGAGGCGGAGCCTGCCGAAGCAGACGGGGAGTGCTCGAAAAGAGCAAAAAGGGAGTCATGAAAAACCTAACGTGGACCGTTCCCTGCTTGGAGGACAGGCGTCAGAATCACGGCCTAAACCCGGTCACATGCAGGCACAGTCACATTCTGCAACTCAACGCGAGCAGGACAAAGATAGAGCCAGTAATGATCAAGTCCTGAAAGAGCATAATAAGGCACAAAATCATAATAACGTAGACGTCAGAGAGGAGACAGAGGGAGGAAACAGGAAGCAGGTAAAGGAGGTTGAGGAAACGAGCGCTATGATGTCACATAATGCACTTTTAAAAAAGGCACCTGAAAGCACTCTTTACTGTAGCCCTGGTTTACAAGATATCTTTGACCGCTGGCCTAGCATGTCTGACCAGCCTTCAAACCACACAACAGCCGGTCACACAGCCAGTAATAAACACATTGAAGAAGCAGTAACGGCAGAAGTGCAGGATTTACCTCGGGTGGACAGGAAAGTTGCAAAACCAAACGTGCAGGTCGAAGCTGCCGGGAGAGACTCTGTGGAGGAAATATACTTAAGACACGAGACCGAGGAGGTCACAGAGAGACTGGGCTCTCCTGCTGATCTCATTCCCCCGACCCAGGAAACGGCACCTGTCACACCCAGAGTGAAACTGACCACCTCGTCCGTCCAATCCCCTCTGATCTCTCGGCCGCTTAACCAGTCGACGCCTTCGACGCGCAAACCAGCGACCGCCAAATGTGCCGAATCTAATCGAGAATCCAAACAGCCTAAATCCACATGGAGTGACAGACGGGGCAATAACATAAAGACTGCACCTGTTCCACTCTCAAAATCAAAGCCCCTGCCTCTCATCAACCCTCCACCACACGCAGCTTCTCCGTCCTCCCCTCAACCGAGGCTTCCGTCTGACGGGGAGTCACCTGTGACGGATGAAGGTTTCACTCTGCAGCTGTCCCAGGACGCCGCTCTCTGCTCCGGCAACCCGGGCGCCTTCTCCATCATAGACGTGGCAAGCGACAGGCGCCTCTTCGAGACATTCGTCGCCGAGTGGAAGACGAAGGAGCGGTTCTGTCTGGCTTTGGCCTGCGAGAAGAGGGAGCAGAGAGAGCAGCCAGAGGGGGGCATAGGAGGGAAACAAGAGAGGTCAGTGCTCAAAAAAGTCGTTTTCAGATTCACACTGTTCCTCTAATCTTTGCCCCACAGATTCTTCATACAAACTCCTCATTGTTGTGCAAGCACAGTTGCTTACTGTTGTATGAAAATCATCCCTCGCCACGTGTTTCCTGCGCAGCGTCAGCGGCTCATCAGAAGCTCCACAGGGTCGACGGGTTTCCATTAAGAGACAGAGACGGACTGGTGCTGATTGGACTGTCTGTCTGCTGGGGAGCCAGAGATGCATACTACATATCTCTGCAGCAAGAGCAGAGCAGAGGTATATCACACTCTCCTGTATGCATGCACTGTAAGCCCCCTCCCCCCCCCCCTTCCAAAACAAAAAGTGTCCTCATGTAACCTCATCTGTTACCCCTTAGGTTTGAGCGCCAGTCTAGCTCCACCTCCACTTGATGATGGTTTGCCAGTTAGTGAGAGGGCGGAGAAGGTGAAGGCGTGTCTGAGCAGGTCAAGGAAAGGTCAGGAGGGGGGCGTGGTCGTCACTTATGACATCATCGAGGTGTACAAGACGCTAGTCCTTAGCTGTGGCATCAGTTTGGAGGGAAACTGTGAAGACCCAAAGGTAAAAAAATAAAATAATAATTTGAAAATACCTTCTTTTTTTTTTAACAATATGTTTATTGAGTTTTAAACATTTTTCCAAGACACACAATTACAATTAAATAAATTCTAAGGAAAAAAAAAAAAAGATAAACACAAAAGTAAAATATAATAATACAAAAAAAAAACTTTAATTACAAAATGTTCTAAAATTATTACTGTCCGTATTAAATAAAAATAACCAAATGGAGTGCATTGCCATAGCTGATTTGTTAATCACAAATATTCTGCAAAAATGACCACAATTACAGACATGGCCAACTCTTTACCGGCCTAGCTCAAAATATGTGACGGATCTTTATCCTGAAAAAATTAATATATAGGCCCCAGATATCGTCAATAATTCTTGTTTGTCTTTAAGTGTATATGTTATCTTTCCCAGAGCCAAGAACAGACATTTCAATAAACCATAGTGTAATACTCAGCCTACCACTGTTTTTCCATGTTAATGCTATTGGTCTTTTAGCCTGCAATATGCAAATTCTTTAATTTTTGGACATTTCCATACGCTGAAAAGACCTTTTGATAAAATGCCAGAAACAAAATAATAAATCAGCTGACCGGGTTTTTAAATGTGAAACGTAGGTTGCGTGCTGGATGGAGGACCCCGGCAGTGAGGAGAGGACTCTTCCCAACATGGTGACCGTCTACTGTCCTGAAGAGTTACCCCTGCTGGACGGACTCGGGAACCCACACTCACACTGTCCTCGTTTGAGGGCTGCGACTAAGAGTGTGCTCGTCCTCGCTGTCATGAACCATCTCACCGGCCTGCTGGAGAAAGACGGCATGCTGGGTACAAGTATAAATCCTCTTAACGCACATATAACGCCTCAGAGGGAAAGACAATCAGAGAAGATGTTTTAACTTGTTGCTTTTTTGTTTTTGTTTGCGTGTGTCAGATGTGTTCAGGAGCATCGAGATGCCCTCCCAGGTGTGTTTGGCCCTGTTGGAACTGAATGGCGTCGGCTTCAGTGTGGAGGAGTGTGAGAGACAGAAACATGTGATGCAGGCCAAACTCACAGCGCTGGAGGCTCAGGCTTATAACCTGGCTGGACACACATTCTCCCTCACCAGCATCGACGACATCGCGCAGGTCGGACCCCGGCTTCTTTATCCCAGAAATGTTTATATGTAGCTTAAAGCTCCTGTGAGGAATTTTCAGCTGGTCATGAAACAGTTTGAAAGATATACTTATGACTCTTTTTTACCTAAAATAGCAAACAAGACCATCTGGGGCAAGATGAATCATTTCTACAAAGTTATATTTAATGCCTGAATCCAAAGCGTCGGGGTAGGTGGCAGACAAAGTGATTAACTACATGCTCCCAAAACAGCCTTTATTTACATTTTTTTAAAAAGGGGAAGATTCGTGATAACTGATGTGTTTCTTGTTTAAAAAAAGCATTACTCACACACGTACAGGACAAAATCAGCAAAGCGATTAGACCGCTTTGTCCACAGGGCGGCGCCAAAATCACCACAATGACACAAACCGTTCCTCACAGGAGCTTTAAATTCATGTTTTTTAACCGTTGGACTGCAGGTGTTGTTTTTAGAGCTCCATCTTCCTCCAAACGGCGACGTGAGTGGATCAAAGAGTAAGAAGACTCTGGGCTACACCAGGAGAGGGGCTGGCAGAGTACGACTTGGGAAGCAGTTCAGCACCACCAAGGTGAAACTACTTAGCTGCTGCAAGTGAAAAAAAGGGAATAAATGTCAGAGGTCTCAAAATAAACCAAAATGATACCTGCAGGATGTTCTGGAGAAGCTCCGCCCACTGCACCCGTTACCAGGAGTGATTCTGGAGTGGAGGCGCATCACTAACGCCTTGACTAAAGTGGTCTTCCCGCTGCAGAGAGAGAAGCAACGCCACCTTACACTGAACATGGACAGAATATACCCCATCGCCCAGACACACACCGCCACAGGTTAAACACACACACACACACAAAGATCATTCTCAGTTGATTATATTGTTCTTTACAATTGTATGAATATTCCTTTCATGCTTGAATTATTAAAAAGCAGAGTTAGATTGAGTTCAGATGTTAACTTTACAAAGGAAAGAGATTTTCAAATGTATTTATTTTTTCAGTCAGTGTCTACTAGAGTTGACATCATGCAGCTTTTAATACAAGATTTATTTTTAAATGCATACACAAAATAGTTTTCTCTTTCACTTGTCACAAACTTATTTCCAGATTGTCACAAGTCCACTAAGGTGAAGAGGATTCATTTGAGTTCTTGAATCTGAGTTTTAAGTTTTTATTTTTTGGCTTTTTATGACTTTGTTTAAGAGACAGGACAGTGGATAGAGTCAGAAATCATGGAGAGAGAAAATGACTTTGGAACATCTGTCCACTGTTGTGACCCAGATGTGTGAAAGGTGTACGTACAGCACGCAGTGACTCGTCTTTTTTCTGTTGTCAGGTAGAGTGAGCTTCACTGAGCCCAACATACAGAACGTCCCCAAAGACTTCGAGATCCAAATGGCCACAGTAGTGGGTGAGAGCCCGCCTTCACAGGAGAGCCGCCACATGAACGCCAAACCAGAGTAGGTTCAGGGGAATAAGGGGACTCATGAAGGGGTTCTGTTGTTTAAGAGTGAGGTTACCTCTTACTGTTTTGTTTCAGAAGGAAAAGACGCTCTGTGGCTGCAGCTGGCCGTGCAGAACAAGGCCCGGCCTTCTCTGTGAGCATGAGACATGCATTCGTCCCTTTTTCAGGTGACCATTATGAGAGAGTGGTTATAACCATTTCTGACTGTGATTCTGTCTCAGACCGCTCAATAAGCTGTGTCGTTGTGCACCGTACTGATCTGTAGGTGGGATGATATTGGCAGCAGATTATTCCCAGCTGGAGTTGAGAGTGTTGGCTCACCTCTCCAAGACCAGCGCCTCCTACAGGTCTGTGGTGTGATAAATAGGGAAAAGGCATGAATAAAAAAAATCGAACATCAGTGATATGTAAAGAGATGATGAACTGTCCCAGGTGCTGAATGGAGGAGCAGACGTGTTCCGCTGCATCGCTGCCGAGTGGAAAAGTATCGACCCAGAGTCTGTGAACGACAACCTCAGACAGCAGGCCAAACAGGTACGAGAAGGAGGAACAAGACATGCATTATTATGTCAGTGTTCGGACAAACACTGTGTTCATGTTTTGGTCTTTTCAGATTTGCTACGGCATCATCTACGGGATGGGAGCCAAGTCTTTGGGGGAGCAGATGGGAGTGGAGGAGAATGATGCAGCCTGCTACATAGAGAGCTTTAAGGCCAGATACAAAGGTACACAACTTTAAATCATTACTTTGATAGGGGCCTAAATGTATATTTTTGTGCACTTTCAGTGTTTTCTTGGTGGATTTTGAGGGCGAAAAAGGAAAGTGTCTTTAAGAGGGGAAAGTTAAATAATAATCAATATGGTGGAAAATTCACTTTATTTTTAACAGGCTAGATCACCATGGTAACTGACTCTAAACTCATCATTATTAAAAGACCTTTAAGTTGTTAAAGCAGCACTGGAGAAACCACTGCATGGGTACCTGTACACATGAAAGTCCACTAAACATCAAGATTTAGAGAAGAAACGAAATGAATGAACTTTTTTCCCCGTGTTTCAGGGATCAATGCTTTCCTTCGAGAAACTGTGAAGAAGTGTGTAAAGAACGGTTTCGTTCAGACTCTAATGGGCCGCCGGAGATACTTACCGGGGATCACTAACACTAACGCGCACATCAAAGCACATGTAAGTCATCAGGATTCGTGTCAAGCTGTCAAATGTTAAATACATGTATCATTTTTAAATGTATTCCCTACTTAAGGACTCGTCTTTATCTCCTCCTCTCTCGTAACAGGCAGAGCGTCAGGCTGTGAACACAACGGTTCAGGGATCAGCAGCAGACATTGTGAAACTGGCCACAGTGAACATCCAGAAACGACTGAGGAACACATATCCTGCAGCTCCACTCTCTCACCAGCACACAAGCTCAGGTGACTTCATCTTCACTTTGTTTTTGTTTTTTCACACTTTGTATAAACGCTGCACCAGAACGAGACAACCCTTCAAGTCTATGATGTAACATGTCTGCAGCTGTAGGTCTACAGGTCTCATTTCACTGTTGTTTTTACATTGTTTACAGGTTTCTATTCTTCTTCTAAGATAATAACTTGTGTGCACAGATTTTTTTTTTTTTACTTTTTGAGACTTCAGGGGCTCCGTACTATTCTTATTCCTGCACAGGTTATGTACATTTCTTGGTATAGGTCAAATTTTTTATTGTATGAGTTTAATTCTGACTATGTAGGAGTTTCTTTAAATCTTTGTTCGGGTTCATATATACATACAGGAGGGGGAATCAGTGGGTGTTGTCACAAATGTTTCATGTCAGGAGTGTTTTTGGTAGCTGCTACTGGATGATTTGAATTTCCCTCAGGGTCAATAAAGTATCTATCTATCTATCTGTCTCTGTCCGTTATACAGCCAACATCGTGCGGAGGAGTCGCCCTAGAGGAGCCTTCTTTGTGCTGCAGCTGCACGATGAGCTGATTTATGAAACCACAGAGGAAGACCTCATACAGGTGTGTAGATTATTGGATTATTACAGAAACACTTTAAGAAAAAGACCTTATGTATACACACAATCCTTTGTCTTTTTACCACCTCAGTAACTATATTTCTTCTTAGTGTATTTGTAAGTGTGTGTGTGGAGGCGTTACCTTTATATGGAGTTGAGAGGCGGACCACCGGCTCAATATCCTAAAGAGTGGTCTACTTATTAAACAAGTATTTTACAAAGAACTAAGATACCCAATAGAATATGCATTATGATGATGTCCAGGTTCTTCTCATGTAATCAGTGAGTGTAAAGATTTTTCTATGTATTTATTGCATTGATGTGTTGCTCTGTTTCCTGTTGTAGAGGGCAGCCCCCTTTTGTGTTAAAAAAAACCTTGTCAGTGAAACACTTCCTGTTTAAAAGGCGCGTTTCCTCTCACTGTCTGTAACGCTGTTGAAGGCTTTGTGCTGAAACGCGTCCGCTGCTGCTCTACCCAGATAATAGAAACTTTAAAGGAGATGGAGTGTGCTGACTTCTCTGTTTTCTACCGACTTCCCCTCTCCGTCAGGTTGCCCAGATCGTCAAGAGGGAGATGGAGACCGCCGTGAAACTGTATGTGAAGCTCAAGGCCAAAGTCAAGGTGGGCCCCAGCTGGGGAAACTTACAGGACATAGATATCTAATCTGAAAGTGTCGACAAGTGGTGTCAGAATACCATGCAGGTAGTGCTTCATGTTTGATACGCATGTTAATATCACTTATAATTTCTAAAACACCTGAATAATGAAATGTAAAATAAACCTTCAGTCGGTTTGCTGCACCATGTGCTGAACTTTAACTATGAAATGTATTTATTTATCTTTTTCTCTAAGTGTCACAAATAACTTTAAAGCAAAGGAGGATATATATTGTATTTATACGTTTTCTAATACGTCATGACATTTAATAAATATTCAAGTTCCTGTTTGTTCTTCCATGTTGAATCTCTTTTACTGAAAGGAAACAATTTCATCATCGAATAGAAAGGAAACTGTGATGAGAGTGGCCAATCAAATGTGGAAATATGTTTGCGTACGAAAGGCCAAAATGCACAGAAAAACCTGTTTTCAAAAATACGGCCTACGTGTGGAGTTGAACTTAAGAACGTCGTGTTTCTTTCCACCTTTTTTTTTTTGCCGTGTAGAATATTACAGTGATCGAGGTCGGGGGGTTTGAAGTCTGGGAGAGTGAGCCTCCCCTGTAAGAACAAAAAAATGTTTTTTTTTCCCCCCACACACAAAGCAGAAGTTAGCTAACCAAACAGAATGTCTGCAAATCTTTTTTCCCCTCATGCTGTCCCTCCCCTGAAGTCCAGTGGCGCCCCCTGGGGAGGGGAGGGGGAGGCAGGTCTCACAAACTTCGATCCAGTTGATTACATTTCTCAGAAGAAAGACACAAAGCCGTTTTAGTATCGAGGACATCCTGAAATCTCACATTTTATTGGACCGTTGGTTGAGTTGTCTGTCACAGGAACATACATCATCAGTCACTCTTTAACACTATTTTGTTTTACACAAGAAGTATTGTCCGTATGAGAGATCTGTTCCGCCTGACGTCAAATTCACCACCTCTGCTCGTAGAGAGACAAATAAATGTGGTCGAGGAACGAGTTTGGCTGACTTTAGTCTCAAGTGTTTTAAAGAATCGAATGATCAAACGTTTGGTGACTATCTTTACGTCAAAACAAAACGTTTTAAAGGTTCCACATCAACATTATTTCAGAAGCTCAACCCTTCACTCGATGTTTATCAGGAACTAAATAGAAGATTTAAATGACATGTCTGGATAAGAACTGTCAGGACAAATGTTCTTTGTTGATTCACAATTAACCAGTGTGCCACCAATCAACAGAGCTCGTCGACACACGCTTTGATTTGACAGAAAAAAAGAGAAACAAGTAAATAAATACATGTCATGGGCACACATCCACAAATGCAACAAATAAATCATCAACAGATTTTCTTTTCTTAAAAAAAAAAAGAAGAGGGATGGTTTCTTTCCAGATGATGATAAAGGTGTTCATGTCTGTGAAACAAAAAGAAGGCTTCCTGTGTGTGAAAAAGCCGTTGACCTCATGTTGTTACTTAATATAACGAAGGACAATGTTTACAATTTCAAGCTGTCATAACCTCAGTGGTAGGTTTTGACTAGCAGCTACAGTTAATAAGTGGTATCACCCATCGTATTAAGTGCAACACATGTCGGCAGCTTCATCGGCTGGGGATCAGTGTGAGAAATTGTATACATCACTAAAAGTTCTAAATCTCAAGGAGTCAATGGATTTCCTCGAGACGCTGCTGGTGTGTGTTGCTCTGTAATGGTCGGTTCATAATACCCGTCCCCTGTGATCCAAATGTGATTTCTGAGGCCGCCAAAGTGATCAAAAATGAAAACAAATCTGCACACAATGATCATCAGTATCTTTGGTGGTTTTGCTGTTTTATACTGACCTTTTTTTTTGTTAAACTTCCAAATCATACAACAAATATCAGCTTTGACCTGTTTCTAAAACTGGGAGGTGACCGGCAAATTCTGTAGTTGGCAATCATTTGAGAGGACATTGGGAAGAAGAAGAAGAAGATGTGAAGCTTTCCAATCACAATCCCACTTCACTGCCCAAATAGTCCAATCACAGCCCCTTTAGGGTCTAGCCGACTTCAAACAGAACAGAGACCGATGTGTGTTGGGAGTATGCAGGTTGCTGTAAACATAGATTTTAGTCAGACTCACTGCCACAAACAGAAATAAAATCATTAATCAATTAAGGCATCGACACAGGCAGAGCTGTGCATTTCACCGGAGTACAAAACATAAGAGAGAAAATATATGTACACAGGTACAGTTAAGTGCTACTTCAGCAGCCTCGTGTTCCACTGGCTAGATCTGTGGCAAGAAATACTGGAACCAGGACTCGCCTTTGCTTGCTCCACGAAGTACAGGGGGGGATTTTGGGGGGGGATTTTGGGGGGGAGGGGCTTGAGCTGGGGCCAAGAGCTTTTCCCGTGTCAGATAGCATCCTGCGAGAAGGCTCCCGGCCAAGGTTATCAGGGGTAGAACAATTTACATGAGATATAAGTAAGGACACGAGAGGCTAGAGGATGACATCTAAGAAGGTGTCAGGGAGTCTCTCCGTCGCGGCTGAAGTGGTACCTGACCGGAGGACCGGGCAGGTCGTCGTCTCCGTCAGTCTCCGGAGCAAATGACACAGTGAGGTCGACGTAGCGGCGGTCCACGGATGGCCTGATCAGCTTTTGCATCCTGCAGAGAGATGGAGGTTTCAAATATGAAAATGATTGAACATGTAAAAAAGATAAATGCACATCCGTACAAGCGGACGCTCAGAAAAAAAAAACCCTCATATTTACCGACGTTGAAAAGCATTATGCATAAGAAAGTGTAAAAGAGCGGAAAGAAGTATAGACATAATTAAATCCCACCCCTTCTCCATTAATTATTATGATATAATACACTTTATTGTTCTCTGGGGGGAATTTGTCTTGGACTCAAAGTGCTGCAAACATTCAGCTGCTTCTACAGAACTACCACAGACAGGAAGCAGACTAGCACTTGATGATTCTCAGTAACCTTTGAAGAGGACAGCTTGAACAACATAATCGTGCAAAGGCTCATAGGGGGTTACAAGGATGAGGAATAAAATCCACCATGCTGAGATGTGCTTAAGCGAGAGTGTGAATCTCTTACAACCTTCAGAAGTCTTATTGTGGGAGAGGGTAAGAGGATGGGCACAGGGGTGAAAAAAAGAGAGAGAGCGAAATCAGGAAACAGTTACGTTAGTTTGAGTCTCTTTGAGTGTCCAGGCATCACAGGCACATAGAGCATCTTCACACCATGGACGACCATCGTGGGTTCAATTCCATACTTTTCCTGTAAAAAGAAAAGAAATGATCAAAAGGACAGACTACAAAAGAAGCTATCCAAAACCTCCAAATGTTTATTGTGTTATTGCATCAGAATAGGTCAAACCACATCAAGGTGAAATAATAGTAAATGATTCTCACCCTCACTGCATTCATGAAGTCAGAGAGCGTGAAGTCTTCATGGCCAAAGATAGTCCAGCAGTCCCAGATGGAGAAGTAGATGTTATCCCTGGGAAATCAGCCACAGATAAATAAAATAAGATTAAAGATTCTGCATTTGATTTATTGTAGCCGAAAAAAAGTGTCACTTTGCTGCTGGAGGAATATTAGTAAGTGAATCTCAGGGTGTTTTCCCATTAGACACGATTGTTTTGTACTGTGCCCAAGAATGATTGCCACCCGCTCCCCCGCTGGTCTGTGTTCACATTAGTAACATCGTTCATATGTACACAGTCGATACAGCAGGTGGCAGTATGCACATAGTTGGTTTGCAAATCCGCCAAGAAGCAGGAAGACGAAGAAGACCCACACATGGCCGATGTTTTTGTTATTTCGGAAACCGTCTTCCTACTTCCACATCTATCATGCAGCTCAGAGAATGTAAAGGAGCCCGTGCTGATGGTTTTTGTAGCGACTGGAGCTGTTAAGCATGACGTCATATAACGGTCTACTTCCTTGTTTGAGCACGGGTGCGTTCACATCTCCCGCAGAGTACACATGGATCGTGACGCGGGCACAGAACCCGAGTATGGAACATTTGTGTTCACACTGATCAAATGAACCGGACTTTTGGGGGTCAAGGGTACTCGGATCTGGGTCCGGGTCCCTAATGTGAAACCAAGCTTCAACTTAAAGAGGGTTTAAAACACACTGTAAACATGCCTCTTACCTGATGAGTGCCCTTTTCACGGGGGCGGGCTCTGTGAGCACCATGACAGGAATGGCCAAGTTGAAGAAGCAGTTTTTGAAAGATTCAAACTCGTAGCCTCCAACCACCTTGATCAACTCGAGGGCCACCTGAGTACATCAGGACAAGACACAAAACAGCTGATACACTAGTACTATAAAACCCTGCACTATATTCAGACCAACACGGTGTATCTTAACATCCATCAACGTTTTCTGTCAATCACTGGGAAAGCTGATGTTGAAATGTGAAACACTTCTCACCAATCCAGCCACAGCAGCTGTTGCCGTGGCGATGGCAGGGATGATCTTGCCGGCGATGCGTTTAGTCTTGAGTCTGTCGGCGGGCTCGATGGAGTACATCCTGGCTCTGAGCGCAGATGCCGACGCCACAAAGTCCATATGGCCGTTGCTGTCGTCGTCCTTTTCAAACTGCAGTGGACTCATCCGTAACCGCTCTACACGAGGAACGCACACACACACACACACACACACACACACACGAGACGTGATGAATCAAAGTAGACGGACAGTTCTTTTTCATGTCCTAATGATGGTAACATCGTGTTTCCTAACCAGATCCTCCTTAGTTATGGATACAAATTAAACCACCATCTTGAGTGTCCATCTACAAATCGGCCTTTTGGGAATTTGTTGTGATGAAATGTGTACCTGCTGTGACGTTGTCAGTAGCGATGGCCTGCTCCAGCTGCATGATGGCCTCCCTCTCCTCTTCACTGCTCAGAGGCATCTTCGCCTGATCGGGCTTCTTTGCCGTCTCGTCCGTCTCTATACTCTGGAAGGAACAGATTGAGAACAGATCAACAGGATTAGGAAGTCTCACACGGACAGAAATCAAGGATCCGATCGATGGAGAAGCTTACTTTCTGGGAGGGCCTGTACTCGGGAATCCTGACACCTGAGAGAACCCGGGCCACCGCCTCCTTAGAGAGATCCTGAGAAAGAAGACGGAGCAGCCAGTCAGTAAATATAATACTGTGTGTGTTTGACTAAGAGCGAGTGAGGGAATGTGAATTACCTTTTCTGAGTACGGGATGTTGTAAGTCTCTGCGAAGAGTCGGGCAGTGCTGACAATGAAAGTGAAGTGCCTGATGGGAAAAGAGGATTTGCAAGCTTTGATATGAGAACATAG